ATTCTTGATTGCAGAACAGTGAGTGCTGAGTGATATTGGGTAAGCTGCGTTATTTTGCGTGCAGGAGCTGTTGTGCTGATCAATATTCACATGTAGACATGATATTATTTGAGTATTGGGGGGGGGGGGGCTGCGCGCCCGAGGGAGCACCGGCCTGCCCCTCCGAATCGACCCCCGCTTCAAGAGCTCGACAGTGACGCGTCGACCCGCGCGGCTCCAAGCGCTGCGCACAGCGGCGGGGGCTCGGAGGCCGTGCCGGCTTGCCACACCCGAGCAGGAGTGCGAGCAGCGCAGCGCGTGTCCGGAGGGCGAGGAGCGCAGCGCGTGCCAGGAGGGCGAGCAGCGCAGCGCGTGCCAGGAGGGCGAGCAAAGCGTGTCCGGAGTGCGAGGAGCGTGCCGAACTGGCCAGCAGCGCGTGTCAGGAGTGCGAGGTCTCGAGGCAATCGACCGTGCGGGGCAGCCGCACGCGCAGTCTCCGCACCCGCTCTGCCCAGTCCGCCGGCGGTGAAGCGTGCGAGAGCGCCACGACGCCGTCGGCCACGCGCGCACGTAAGTTTGTCTCGTTGAGCCAGTCGGTGCCTGTCACATGCAGGAGCAATAGCTTTCCCGCGCCGATGCCTCAGAGCGGGCGGCGAGGGCCGTCCCCGTCGGGAGGGGGCTGTCACGCCCGCGATCTCGCTCGCTGGAGGGTTGTGGGGGTTGTGTTTCGCCTCTTGTTTCGCCTCTCTCTGGCCATCAAGCAATGCTGTCTGTCTGAGTCTGTCAGGTCTCGACGCGCCAAGCGCCTGGCTCGTGCGCGCCGCCGACGCCATAGCCGGTGTCTGCGATGACGCCTCGGCCGCCCGCGATCCGGGAGAGGCCGCGCCTGCCGCGAGTTCTCTTTTCTGACGTCTCTGGGCGTCGTGCCGTCTTTGGGTGTCGTGGCCGCGCGTCGCGACCTGTGCGCCCAGCAATCCCCCGGGGGCCCAGTGATGCGACCGGTGACAGCGTGCCTCGTGTCGGCTCCCGAGCCAATCGTGCGCAGCGAGTGTGTGTGCGTGTGGGGCCCGTCCTCCATGCTCCGAGGTGTGTACCGCTGACTGGCTGACTGACTGAGTCGCGGCTATAGGCCGCGCGCCAGGTGGCAAAGTTGTGCGGGTCGAGTCGCACCCGAGTCGAGTGCGCGGCGGTGCGGCCACCGGACGTGTGCAAGAAGGCGATCGGGCACGCGTCGAGGAAGGGCGAGAGCCAGCCCTCCTGGTCCGGCAGCCACGGGGAGACGTCGAGCGAGAGGCGTGCGCGCGGCAGCGCCTCTCGTACCTAGACGGGGAATGTGAACTCACTGACCTCACGTTGGGCCCGCAAACCACCGCTGCACTCACTGCACAAGTCACTGCATTTGCATTCACTTGCATTCTGCACTGCATTCCCCCCCCCCCCCCCCTTCCCCCCTTTGCATTCCCCCTCTAGGCTCGCGTACCCTCGCGCCGATCCGGCAGAACAGCGCCACCAGCTCGCTCTGCTGCATCCCTCCGCCGCGCTGCGTCGCCGAGGCGTACTGCGCCAGGTCGGGCTCGACCAGCCAGACCGGAGAGGCGTCGGCGCCGAGCCGCTCCGCCGTCGCGTTGGCGTAGTGCGAGTACAGCTCCAGGATCTCGCCTTGCCGACGACGCACAAAGGCGGCGCCGCGCTCGCAGAGCGACCCGACGCCTCCGCCGCCTCCGCCGCCGCCGCCGCCTCCGCCGCCGCCGCCTCCTCCGCCGACGCGGGCCGCCGCCGCGGCGACGTCGCAGTCGAGCAGCCCGTCGGAGTGTCGCGCGAGGCCGGCGGCGAGGTAGGCGTACAGCAGAACCGTCTGCGAGCGGGCGCGCGCGTGCTCGAGCGCCCGGCCGTGCGACCGGTCGTTGAAGCGGACGCCGTGCCGCCTCGACGGCGGCCCGATCCACAGCGTGACATAGTCCGCGGCAGCGGCGGCGCTGGGCCAGGCGGCGCCGAACTTGAACGCGCAGCCGCTCCGGCGAGGAGGAAGCCGTGCGCGCGCGTGGTGCCGGGACGGCGCTCCTTTGCCGCACACGCAGCAGTGCTCTCCCGGCGACCCAAACTGCAGAGACGCTGCCCAGCCGTTTACGACCCGGCCGCTGGCGCAGTGGCCCTCGCGCTCGTAGGCCGCGCAGGTGCCGCCGAACTTGTTCGCCCAGCCCGGCGAGTCGGCGCAGCCCTGACGAGCGACCATCATGCTGCAGCAGCGTCCCACACAGCCTGTCTCTCGCGACGAGGGCTCGGGCCAGCCACCAGGGTTTAGGGCGGACTCGCGAGGAGCGCCGAGGCCACGCACGGGCGAGGCGGCCCGCGGTGTGAGGGAAGGGAAGAATTTTAATGTGGACACGCTGGTGCTGTCCTCAGGACCGCGTCATCGCGGGTGTGCAAGGATGTGGCATCCAGCTCTTCTTGAGCCTCTCCGCTCTCGCTCGTTAAGCTGCGGTATACTCGAGGCGGCCGCGGGCATGTGTCACGAGAAATCGTCGTGCACTCTTTCACACCAGCTCGCACGCCTCTCCCACGTCCTCCCCTCCCTCCCCTGGCTTTTGTGTTTTCTTTCTTCTTCTTTTTTCGCCTCTCCCACGTGGTGTGTGGCTCCTCTGTGTGCGCGAGCAGGGACACAGCGACTCCGTACACTGGCGATTCATGAGTGATCAGGTTTGTGTATGGCATAATTCCAGTACTTCGGGGGCCGGGGGGGTGAGCTACCCACACACATCAGTTTTACTCGCTGATTCAGCACCACTCCGAGACACCCACTCCCGGCCGCCGCCGCCAGCGCCGCTACCGAGAAGTTCGGTTGGGACGGTCCGCCGTGCCGTTAAATCGCCGTTATCGAATGCCTTGGGCTTCGCTTGGCCGTCTTGAGCGACACCACGTCCTGTTCCACCCATCCATGGTCGCCCCAGCTCTTCTTTCTTCTCCGCATGCATGCACTGACTGACTGACTGCAAACGTCCGGGTAGTCCACCTCGGCGTCACAGCGACGAATGCGGCACCGGCGACGCCTAGAGCTCGTTGCGGCGGCCGCGACCAAGCTGCTTGGCGTGGATCCGACGCAGTCGATCGACGTCAGCAAAGCAAAGCTGTTCCTTTCCGGAGGCGACACCGTGGATGTTGCGGACCTCGCCGCCGACGATACCGTCTACATAGCGTTCAGGCAGCTCCGCCTCCGCCCGGGGCTCTCGCCTCTGCCGTGAGGGGGGGCCACCCCCCACCCTCTGAGGTCAAAGCCCTCTGTGCCGCGCCAAGACGGACCATCAGCCAGGGACCCTCTGAGGCCAAAAGCAGCCAAGAGAGGCCATAGAGGCGGCACAGAGTCAGAGTCAAACCCTCTGTGCCGCCAAGGCAGGGGTCCGACCCGTCCTCAGAGGGGGGTCTGAGGCCTCAGAGAGTGTACAGCCCCCCAGTGGCTCGACACAGGTGGGACAGAAAGAAAGAAAACAGGATCGAGGGAGGGATAGGAGGACGGCACGCCGCCACCACACAGGGACTTTAAGGAGAGGAGTGTGGTGCTAGCCGTCGCCCACCCTTGGGCGTCTGCCTCTTTCCCTATCGCTCTCTGCAGTCTCTCTCGGGCGCCTCACGAGCGTGCGGCCGTGTTTTTCTTGGTTTTCCGCGATGTAGGCACCACTCCCTGGCGAGTACAGACCACGCCTCACTTTTTCACAGGGGGGATCCGTCTGGAAAAAGGAAAAAGAAAGAAAGAAAACAGGCAACCCAAGGGAGGGATGGGAGGACGGTACGCCGCCACCACACAGGGATTTTAGGGGAGAAGTGTGGTGTTAGCCGTCGCCCACCCTCGGGCGTCTACCACTTCCTATCTCTCTCCGCAGTTTATCACCAATTCTTGCAGCGACCTTCATGCCACCTCGCATTCTTCTCACTCTCGTCGTTCTCTCTCCTGCTGTCTCTTCCCCTGACTCATCGCTCTCCTCGGCCTCGTTCTGAGACGCCGCTGTCGTCTGCCGATCTCTTGCTCTCGCTGCTTCTCTCGCCTTTCTGCGTAACTCCGCTCTCCTCTCCGCGTATTTTGGTCCCTCGAGTTTATCGAGCATTCCTCGCGCAAGGACCACATTTCTGACTCCCACTGCGAGCATATCCCGCCCTGTCATGTCGTTGCTCAGGTCCACTCTCGTTTCGAGCACTTGTACCTCAATGGTCGGTGTTGGCACTGGGGTTCCCTTCGGGTATATTGTGACAGCTGATGGCGGGATTTCCACTTTTGTTTCGTCCTCCTCGGGGTCGTCTTCCCCGGCTTCCTTGCGTTCTGGAAAAAGGAGGCGTGTGACAAGTGGAGGGTTGGATCGCCGTCTTTCGGCGAGGATGGGTGTTGGAGCCCTCTTTGCTCAACATGCGGCCTGCTCTGCCGCCTCAACGAGACCGCCGCGCGCGCGCGCGCTCGGCATGCCTGCTGCTCGCCTGCCGACCTGGCCAGGCCGCGCGTGGCTGGCGCCAGCTCGTCATCGCAGCGGAGCACCGGAGGCGCGGTTTGCCCGCTGCTGGCTCTCGCCCCGCCGGCGGTTCCACGTGAGTCTATCACACTCTGGAGCCGAAACCAGCCGGAAATGTGCCTCCTCACAGCTCCTCATGGATCTGCGAAGAGAACCGTCTCCTCCAAGTAGCTCCACAGCCGGTCCGGCTCGCCCCTCGGGGGCTTCGTTCAAGCGTGCTGTGTGAGTGTTGAGGTGATACGAGCGCGCGTGGGCGCGGCGCGAGTGCCGTTTTGGGTCTCTTTTATACCAGTGATGAAATATAAACCGACTTTACCACGCGCGCGCACGCGCGCCGCGCTCCTCGACTCTCTCGCACCCGCCCCGAGCCACGCCCCTCACGAGATAGGCGGCTGCGACCCTGAGAGTGCGCAGCGGTGCCGCTGGCGTGCTCACCACACCCACCCATCATGCCTGCATCATTCCTGCACGCACTGCCCGGTCTGGCCGGGGCGTGGGGCGAGATCTGGCATGGCGGCGCGCTTGAATTGAGCGCCTTTGATCGTCTCGCGGCGACTGCTCGCAGGCCGGGCGGCCAGAAACTGTGCCGCTCAGCCATCCGCCGAAGCGAGCGCGCCGGCGGCGGTCCGCCGCCGGCGCGCTCGGCTCAGTGTCTTCAAGCCCGCCGCCGGTGGGGAGCTCCGCATGCCGCACGCCTGCTTTTCGCTGCGCATGCTCGAGCCCCCGGCGAGGGCTTGTGCTGTGAATAGCAGGCGTGGTCTGTACTCGCCAGCACCACTCCCCTGTGCAACAAGAAAATCCGACGTCAGCGCAGGTTTTCTTGGTTTTCCGGCGACCTGGCTCACGTGTGTGTGCGCAGGGCAGAGAAGCAACAGCCTTCCAATACACTCGATGCAGTCGAACCGGCCGCCTCCGCCGCGCCCCCAGGGCGGCCGCGGCGCGCCGGGGCCCCAGGGCGGCCGCGGCGGCCAGGGCGGCCGCGGCGGGCCGCGGATGATGCAGATGGGTGAGCGGCGCCTCTGTGCATCGCCGCGCCAGAGATGCTGTGCAGACGGCCCTGACCGTCCGTGTCTCCCTCGCCCGCAGGCGGCAGCCCGATGGGACCGCGCGGGGCGATGGGTCCTGGTGCGCGAGCGCGCTTCCGCGACGCGCTGCCCAGGCGGCCTGGTGCTGAGCGGCCCCTCGCCCTTCTGCCGCAGGGATGGCAGGGATGCCGATGGTGTACGGCGGCATGCCGCCCGCCGGCGGACCGCAGGTGCAGTCCGCCCGCTGCGCCGCGGACCACCCTCGCGGCTGGTCGGCGCTGGCTGACTCGCGCCGCCCCGCCGCAGATGAGCCTGGTGCGAGTGCCGGCCAACCTGTCGCCCGAGCAGCAGCAGCAGTGGCAGCAGCAGATGATGCAGCAGCAGCAGATGCAGATGATGGGGATGATGCTGCCGACGAGCGGATACGTGCGTGCGCGCACGCGCGCGCGCCTCTGCCCACCGCGCCGCCGCCGCACCGCACGCTCCGAGGGCGTCCCAACACACCGCTCACCTCGCCGCCGCCTCCCGCTGTCAGGGCACGATGCGGCCGGGCCCATCGATGCGCGGCGGAGGCATGCAGGGAGCGTACATGCCGATGGGGGGGCAGCAGGCGGCGGCCTACGGGCAGCCGACCAACATGTACTCAGCGCCGGGCCAGGCCGCGGGCAGCGTGCGGCCGATGCCGCCCCGCTCGGGTGCGCCCATGAGCGGCGGGGTCGTCCCGGTCGGCGGCAGCTTCCAGCCGAGTGCGGGCGCGCCCGCGCCGCCAAAGAAGCCCGCTTCGCGCGCGATCGCGATCGTCAACCCGGAGACGAACGAGGAGGTGGTAGTGCCCAAGAAGGCTGAGCCGCCGCCCGAGGCGCCGCCGCCCGAGGCGCCGCCCGCCGACAGCGCTCCGCAGCCAGACGCATCGCCGCCGCTGACGGCTCCGCCCGCCGCCGACGAGCCGCCCGCCTCGCAGCTGTCGCCGCCGCCGCGGCCGCCCGGCCCGCCGCCGCCGCCGCTCGAGCCGGTGGCCGCCGCGGCGGAGCCCGCGCCCGCCGAGCCGGAGCCGCCCGCGCCCGCCGAGCAGCCCGAGGCTCCCGCCACGGCAGCTCCCGCTGCCGAGCCGCCCGCCGCGCCCGCCGCCGCGGCGGAGCCAGAGGCGCCGGCGCCGGCGCCGGCGCCCGCGACGCCCGCGGCGCCGGCGGCGCCGGCGCCGGCGGCCGAGGCGGGCGGCGCCGCGGACGGCGACCACAACGACGATTGGGAGACCAAGGACGACTCGGCCCTCATCATCGAGGAGTCGCCGCGCGAGAAGCCAAAGGCTCCTGCGGCGGGCGGCCTGTCGCTGCGGCCGGGCGGGGCGGGCGCCTTCGCCTCGACGGGCAAGGTTGCGGTGGGCGGGAAGAAGGTGTACGCGCGCGACTTCCTCATGTCGCTGCAGCCGCACTACACCGAGCGGCCCGCGACGCTCACGATGGAGTTCGAGGTGGTGGTCGACGGCGCAGCCGCGCCCGCAAAGGGGCGCGGCGGGGGCGCAGAGTGGGAGCGGGTCGGGGGGAGGGGCGGCCGCGGGGGCAAGGGCGGGCCTCCCGGGCTCAACGGCGGCGGCGGCTTCAGCGACCCGCGCGACCCGCGCAACAACCAGTTCCAAAAGGGCGGCAAGGGCGGGCGCGACAAGGGCGGAGGCAAGGGGGGGCAGCGCTTCATGCCAATGTCCGAGGTCAAGCCGCTGGAGAAGACGGAGAACGCGTACGTGGCGGCGACGATCGCGAAGAAGGACGTGGACGCGGGCGAGAAGCTGCTGCGCGACTGCAAGTCCATCCTCAACAAGCTCGCCCCCGAGAAGTTCGACAAGCTCGCCGGCCAGTTCCTCGAGCTGCCCGTCGAGTCGCGCGCCGACATGGTCGGCATCATCGACCACGTCTTCGACAAGGCGCTCGCCGAGCCGGTGTTCGGCACGATGTACTCGACGCTCTGCGCGCGCTGCTCCGAGTCCTTCCCCGAGTTCCACGACGCGGACAACCCGGGCGGCAAGCCCGTCACCTTCAAGGTGCCTTCCGAGCACACCACCTCCACCCGTCGCGTCGCCACACGTCGCCAGAATCTGCAAGAGTCCCGCGAGCCCCCAACCACCACCACCACCACCACCACCACCACCACCACCTGGCGCGCGCTCTCTCGCCGCCTCTGCCGCCGCTGCCACCCTCGGCCTAGCCTGTGCCCCGCCCGCCCATCACCCACCCTCCTATCGTCGCCCCCTGGCAGCGGCTGCTGCTCAACAAGTGCCAGGAGGAGTTTGAGAAGGAGAATGTGGTCAAGACCCAGCTGGAGGCGCTGGGCGAGGACACGCCCAAGGAGGAGAAGGAGCTGATCCGCATGCGCGCGAAGAAGCGGATGCTCGGCAACATCCGCTTCATCGGCGAGCTCTACAAGCAGAAGATGCTCACCGAGAAGATCATGCACGAGTGCCTCATCAAGCTGCTCGGCGACATCGAGAAGCCCGACGAGGCGCGCGCCGCCCGCCGCCCGCCGCCGCCCGCCGCACGCGCCCGAGCGGAGGGCACACACCGCACGGCACGGCGCGGCGACGGCACGGCCCTCGCCGTCGCGCGCCGCTCCCCCGCCCCGTTGCGCCGCCGCTTGCGTCCACCGCCCCGCCCCGCTCTTGCGCGCAGGACGAGGTCGAGTGCCTGTGCAAGCTGATGACGACCATCGGCTCGCTCATCGACCACGCGCGCGCAAAGTCGCACCTGGACGAGTACTTCACGCGCATGAAGTCGATGGCGAACAACGAGAAGCTCGTCATCCGCATGCGCTTCATGCTGCAGGAGGTGATAGACCTCCGGCGCGGCGGCTGGAAGCAGCGAGTGGCGGACCCGGCCGTCAAAATGCAGCAGCAGCAGCAGGCGCAGATGGGCAAGGGGGGCAAGGGCAAGGGGGGCGGCCCGCCCAGTCGCGGCGCGCCGCCGCCCGCGCGGGGCGCCGGGCCGCCCGGGCGCGGCGGCGCGGGACCGTCCGCGCCGCCGGCCGCGCCGGCCGCGCCGGCGCCGCTGAGCAAGGAGAAGGTTGCGGCCCGGCTCGAGACGGAGCTGGAGGAGTACTTCAACCTGGGGCAGGTGGAGGAGCTGCTGCTGAACCTCAAGGAGCTGCGCGAGAAGGCGCCCGAGACACCGCGCCAGAGACACCGCGCCCGAGACGAGCGGGCACACTGACCCCCCCCCGCCCCCTTTACCCCCCCCCCTTTCCCGACCCGCCCACAGGCGCGGCTGCCGAAGGGCGAGCCGTCGCTCGGTTTCCTCTTCCTGAAGGAGGGGATCGCGAAGGCGATCGAGGCGAAGGACGCCGCGCGCGTGCGCGAGTGCATGGCCAAGTCCATCGGCCCGCTGCACCGCGAGAAGCTGCTGGCGCCTGCGGAGGTGCGGAAGTACTTCACCGACATGCTCGAGTTCATCGAGGACGAAGCGATCGACGTGCCGTCGATCGGTGCCATCTTCGCAAACTACATCGCGGCGGCCATCGCCGACGATGTGCTGCCGCTCGGCTTCCTCGCCACGGCCTTCAACCACCTCGCCGACTCCCATGTCTCCACGCTCAAACAGTCTGCGATGCTCGGCGCGCCAGAGTAGTAGTAGTAGTAGTAGTAGTAGTAGATGCTCGGCGCGTGGCCAGACCGCCGCGCGCGGGCGGGCGCGGAGCCCTCTCCTGCAGCCTTTAGCCCTGCCGGAGCCGTCGCGTAGGCGCGACGCTCGCCAAGCTGTGCGAGCGAGCGGGCGCCGAGCGCGGCCGCGCCCTCTACGCCGAGGCCAAGGACTTTGACCTCGCGGCGCTCGCCGGCGGCAGCGAGGCGCGCGCGACACCGGACACTCTCAGGGTTGGGCTCCATCTCCGAGCCTCCGCCGAGGCACTGCCGCGACGCGCCCTGGTCTTTCCGCTCGCCCTGCACGCCGCCCACGACACACGCGCAGAGGCACGTCCACGACGCGTTCGCGGCGCGTGTCCACGACGTGTCCACGACGTGTCCCTCAGGCTGCGGTCGAGCTGCTCGAGGGGGCGGGCGTCGCCGCGCTGGACCCGGCGCTCACGCAGCAAGTGACGGCCGACAAGGAGGCGGCGTCGCTGGCGGCGGAGGCGGCGACGCGCGAGGCGCTGTGCGCGCGGGTCGACACGTACGTAGACGAGCGGCTGGCGTCGGAGGGCGCCTTTGCGGCCTTGGATAAGCCCAAGGAGGGGGAGAAGCCAGAGGCGCCCGCGACGGCTGTGGCGGCGGGGCTCTGGGTGGGGAACGAGCTCGTGGGGTCGGGCTTGGCCAACGATTTGCAAACGCGCAAGCAGCTAATGCGCGCCATGATGCGCAAAATGCTCACGTACGCGCCGCGGACTGCAGAGGGGCAACCGTGCCCCAAGACTATCGAGCGGGGGCTGAAGCGGCGCGGGCTCCCCTATCTCCCCCCTATCTCCCAATCTCCCCAATCTCTCCCCAATCTCCCCCGTATCTCCCCCGTATCTCCCCCGTATCTCCCCCCCTGAAGCGGCGCGTGCGAGCACGCGCCGGCCCATCTCGCGGCCGCCAGCCCCGCCGCTCAGCCCGCTCGGGGCCCTGCTGCAGGTGGACGTCGATGATCCAGGTCGTCTCGCGGCCCGACAGCGAGCAGCCGCTCGACGCACAGGCTGCGGCGCACGCGCTCTTTGAGGTGCAGGGCTTTTGCAGCGAGCACGGCTTCCCGGAGGGGCTGCTCAAGAAAATCTACTACGCGCTCTACGACGCCGACGTCATAAACGAATCCGCCTTCGCGATCTGGAAGGCGCGGGAAAGCGCCGTCCTTCTCACTGTTGCACACGGGGGCCACCCACTCACTCCCTGCTCTCCTTGAGCCGTGCATTTGGCTCACTCTCGACCCGTCCGCTCGCTTCTGCTCACCCCGAGCCGTCTGCTCGCTTCTCTCGCAGGACACCGACCCCGACGCGGAGCCGACGCCGAACAAGCTCAAGGCCCTGGTCCAGGCCAACGAGTTTCTCACCTGGCTCGACTCGGCCACCCAGGAGTCGGGGCCGAGCGACGACGACTGAGCGGCTCCGTGCCTGGGCAGGCAGGGACGGGGCCGCTCTCTCGGCAGCGGAGTGGACGCCACACACGCGGCCAGACACGCCAGGCTCAACGGTGCGAGGGCCGAGCTCTGCCCGCGCCAGGCGTCGCGCCGCCCTCAACAGCCAGGGGGCCCGCCCGCCCGCCCTAGCATGAAGCCGCCGTCACAGGTCGATTAAAAAGCGGGGTGCCGCTTGTCGTTTTATTTTACCACAGCAAAGAGATCAGTTTACACGTTCTCGTGCCTTAGGGCACCGCACTTGGAGCACTTGGAGTGCAGTCATTAACCTCACATCCAGGGCCGGGGAGCTCAGAAGCGCACCCAGCGGGCCGGATGATCGGGATCGGGTTACGGGCTAGAGAGCCCTAGCCCCGGGGGTGCGCGTTCGCAGGGCAAGGGCCTTAAAGTAAACACGGGTCTCCGAGGGTTAGCCCCGCGTACCGGGTTTCCCCTTAACTGCAGGACGCCCCCTCTACTCGGAGCTAATGAACACCATACTGCACGCCCCACACCACCACTCTACACTCACTTGCGTCGGCGTCTGAGTAGACCCCCCCGCCTGAGGGCTCACCCCTCGCCTTCCCAGGGTCTCAACCCTCCTTGATTCGCTCTCTTGCTCGTCTCCCGAGCGTTATGCGACGACCGGTATGGTCGTTTCCCTCGTTGTTGGTGTCGCTTCCTCCGCTGCCGCCCTTCATCCCCGCCAGCTTCTCCCGGCTCCACCGCTTCCGAGGGCGTCGACGGCCCGGTCGAGGTCTCCCCGGGCGAGAACGGTGGCATTGGGCCGCAACCAGTTCCACCCCCGGGGGGTCGAGCCCGCTCTCCCTGGTTGTCTCGCGCCCGCACCCGCGGCCTCTCTGTCGTCCTCGGCTCGCCCCCCCCCTCCGCCGGCTCCTCTCCAGGTTCGGGGGGGCGTGGCCCTCCCTGTGGAAGGTCGTGGTGGTCCGGTTGCCACCGCGACTGGCCTTCCCCTGGTGAGCCCGTACGTCCCGACTCCACTCTCAGAGGCCGCGTCAGCTCATCTCTCGCCTCCTCCGACAACTGACCCCAAGCCCCCTCCGGGGCCCTCCGGCCACGGCCCTCCGGCTCGCCGGTGGGCCCACTATCGTACCGCGGTAACTCCCCTCCCCCATCTCCTCCGTCCGGATACACCAGCCTCCGGCGGGGCGGTCCCGGACCCCCCAGGTTATTCCGAGCGGGTCCATCTTGCGGCGCCTCCTGAACGACCATCACCACCCGTCCGCCCGCTTCCGCCGTGGCTACCGCCTTCTTGTACACTCGGGTGAGGGCCCCCTGCCCGTGTTCGTTGACCGTGACCAAGACGTTGTGCGGCCACGGTCTCGCCTCCCATCTGTCCTCGGCGACATCATCCACTTCCACCCCCCACTCCCCTCCCGACCACGCCCCCCCCACCACTCTGGGTGCGGCCTCGAAGAGCGTCGACATAGTGAGCGCCGAGGTGAGCGCCTCGCCTCTCAATCCGAACGCATCCCTCAGCCACGCCCTCAGCTCCGGGACGATCTGTGCCACGATCCGCAGCGGGCCACGACCCCGCTCCCGGACCGCCTCGGAACACACCCGGACAGCCGCAGCGGGCAACCGCTGCGCTCCAGGCCACGTCCGACTCGCCCACACCGCAGCGAGGCAAGTCGCTCTCTCCGGAGTCATGCCGTGGCGCAGCCCCCCCGTGTGGACAGTCAGAACCGTGGGGTCCTTGCCCATCTCAAAGGCTTGAAGCTGGCGCCACACCCCCGCTCCCCGCCTTCCAGCCGCCCCGCTATTCACCGGAAGCCGGCAATCCGGAGCGAACCACAGCGAGTCCGCCATCGCAGCCAGGTGGGCCGACCTCTCCATCGCGACCCCTCCCAGCTCCGTCTTGCACGCAGCGCAGCCATACCGGAAGTGGGCGCGCGTGTCCGGGCCGCCCTCGCATAGGTGGCACGCGGCTCGGGGGCGAGCTCCTTCCAGCCGCACTGTCCTCCGGATGGCCTCAGCGTCCGGCCCACCTTGCGCCTGTAACTCTGACGCCGTGCAGCTCATTCTTCCTAGCGTGGCCCGCATAGCCTCCTCCAAGAGCGGGCCCGGGAGTGCTCTGCGTAGGCCGGCCGTCACTCCCAGGTCGACTTTCCCGTCAGCGCCCAGTCGGAGGAGCAGCGTCGCCCTCCTAACTTCCAGGATCTCTATCGCACGTTGTGATAGGGGGGCGCACTTCGCCCTCTCTTCCTGCACGAGTTCTCCCGGCCCTCGCACAGGGGGAGGGTCCTGGCGTCCCCGGTGGAGCTGCACGTTAGCGAGGCCTCGCACCGTATCCTCCCTCCGCGTCGCCGAGTCATCCCCCCCCATCGGCTGGTCTCGCGTGGCCTCCTCCATCCGGATGGTGTACGACCTCCTCACCGCTGCAGCCTGGTGTTGTAGTCCCGCCAGGGTGTTCACCGCTATGTCCTTGGCCAGGTTGGTTGCCGGGTCCATCGTTCCGCACCCTCCCAGGTCTAGCGGGAGCAGCACCACCTCCATCGCCGCCGAGCGCTGGGCCGTGAGCGGGGTGGGGGCTAGCCGGAGGGCTCGCAACGACGCCCGAGCGGCCACCGCACACCGCGATTTCTTTTTTCCGAGTCCAGAGTGCAGAGTGCGAGTGGTTGCGCGGGCTCCTGCCGGGTTGCACGCCGACGGAGTTCAGCTCGCCCGTAGGCATGGCGTCGCTTGGGACGCCAGGCGCAACCGGGCCGGCCCCCACCGGCACGCCTGGCTGGCTCCAAGAGGCCGGGAGACAAATCGAAATCTCTCCCGGCGCCAACGGAACAATCGACCTCACCGACGGCACGGGGCGCATGCCACCACGCCCCGCGACAATCATGGTGCAGGCGTGGCCCGCCAAGAGCAGAAAGGCGACCGTGCTCGAGCTCGCCATGGCCGAAGGCACCGTGGACGACTTTGAGGCCAAACTGGTCGAGATGGGCCTGCGCGAGGGCTACCGCCTTTACCAGCTGCACGGGGACAAGCTCGAACCGCAGCCCACCACGTACCGGACGGTGATGGCGCTTTTGCCGTCGCGCCGCAGCGCAGGGGGGGGCGCCCGCCCGTCGAGCGAGCGACGCGAGCCGACCAAGCTTCTCGTCTCGAAGCCGCCGTCGTTCGACATGCTCTCCAAGGTGATCGCGCCCGAGTTCACCGCGGCGCAGGGCATCAAGGAGATCCTCGACAACGCGATCCAGTCCCTCGTCTTCTTCAGCATGGACCACCCGGCACCTCTCCTCCCCGCCGCCTCTCACTCCCCTGCCGCCTCTGCTGCTCCCTGCCGCCTCTCACTCCCCTCCTGCCCCCTCTCCTCCCTGCCGCCGCTCAGCCCCTTGCGGCCTCTGCTGCTCCCTGCCGCCTCTCCTCTCTGCCGCCGCTCACTCCCTTGCGGCGGCTCTCCTCACCGCTCCACTCGCTGCAGGAGCTTCTCGCCAGCGGCTGCTGGACGCCGCAGCTCGTCATACTGATCGACCTGGCGCGCGGGCGGCTGCGCGTCGTCGACAACGGCGGCGGGCTCAACCCGACCCAGATGGAGGACTGGGCAGAGTGCGGCAACTCCACCAACCGCTCGCGCGTCAACGAGATGCTCGAGGCCGCGGCGGCGCGCTCCAGCACCGACCCTCGTGTCGCCGGCCTCTTCTCGCAGCTCTTCTCCTCGTACGGTATCGGCGGCAAGGGCGGCGGCGGCGCGCTCGCACCCGCCGCCTCTCCCTCGCCGCCTCTCCGATGCCCCTCCATCCTGCCGCTGCCGCGGCTGCCCACCCCCACACCCTCCTGCCACCCCATCTCCACCCTGCTGCCTCTCCCTGCCCGCGCATCCCCTTCTCCACCACTCTCCCGACACCTTCGCGGCCTTGATTCGCGGCCTTGCACACACTCGCGGCCTTGACTCGTGGCGCGGCCTTGCACACACTCGCGGAGGCTCACAGTACTCGGCAGGCGCGCTCACCCGCGAGGGCAAGGAGATCCAAGGCAACATCACCCTCTTCTCGAGCCAGGGACCCTTCGAGGACGACCGCACCTGCCTGCAGCAGATCAACTTCGACCTGCGCGAGGCGCAGCGCCGGCAGGCACAACTCAGCGACGCCGCTGCGCCCTGAGCTGCGACATCGCGTCGCCACGGCCTGACCCCCCCCCCCCTCCCCCCAGGCCGCCAAGGACAACTCGCCTTGGAACCGCGAGTACATCTGCGAGGAGTGGGAGCCCGAGACAGAGAAAGAGCTGCGGCAGCTCATGGACCGCGACGGCTGGGGCGACCGCATCACCTGCCTCGAAGTGGACCGGCTCGCGCCTTCGGTGGTGGAGAAGCTTCGCGAGGCGGTCGCCGACCCGCACCGCTCCGAGCTCGTGGGCGAGATCGTCGACACGTGGGCCTACTCCTTCGAGCCGCGGCTGTACGAGGCGGTTGCGCGCGACTGCAACACCTTCAACAGGGAGAAGGACCCTCCGCCGCTGCGCATCACCGCCAGCGTCGAGGCGTGTGGCATCGACGGTGGCGCGGCGGACCCGACCAGCCTCAACGCGCTGGCGGGCCTCAAGTACCAGAAGCTTGCATCCCAGGCCGCCTCGTCCTCGTCGCAGCCGCTGCGGCGCGGGCTTCGCGCCGGCGGCGCCTCGGATGCGGAGGTGTTTTGCTACGAGTTTGACGTCACCGACGGCGCGGGCAAGCGGGGCAGGGCGCTGTTGCTTCTTCGCTACTACCCGATCAAGGACGGCGGCGAGACGCTGCCCGCCGAGTGCAAGGCCGGCTTCGACGTCCGGTGCTCCCCCCCCCCCCCCCCCCCCCCCCCCTTCCCCCGGGCCAAAGCGCCACACCTCCCACCCAGAAGCCCCCTCCCCTCACATCCCGCCCGCCGCGCTCGTGCAGGTGGCAGAGCCGGCTGCTCAAGGACGAGCGGCTGCGCCTCCTCTCCTTCATGGACCCCGCCGAGCTGTCGACCAAGGGCCGCGGCAGCGCGCAGAAGGAGCTGAGCTTGCTGCTGCAGCGCGTGGGCCACCGGCTGCACGGAGAGCTGCTGCTCGACCCGTCCTTCGCCGTCAACAAGATGAAGTCTCAGCTGCTGCAGAGCGGCGAGGAGTCGAGCTCGGGCAGTATCAAGCTCGTGCAGATGCTGAGGGACAGGAAGGTGGCGGAGTGGGTGCGGCCGGGCGGGGGCACGCTGGTCGACGAGTTCCTGCAGTGGCTGAGGGGGCGCGAGCAGCTCGACGACAATTTCCGGTTCGCGCCGAACAGCGAGCGCGGCGACGTCGAGGCGTGGCCACCTGCTATGGAGGACGGGGCGTCGCCTCCACAGTTGCTTCACGGAGTCAGTGGCGACGTGCTCCGCCTCACCGGCTACGTGAGCGACCCGGAGTCGAGCCCCTCGCCAGGCCGGGCACTGCTCACCCTCGCTTTGCGCTGTAGGTGACGAAGATTCTGCGGGCCGGCGACAAGACGTTGACGGCGCCGCGGAGCGAGTCTGGCCGACCTGTCGAGGCGGACGCGCTGCGGCTGTGGTTGCGCAAGGACAAGAGCAAGGTGTTCAACAAGACGACCAACGCGGTGTGGGCCGAGGTGTACGGTTTCTACTTCTTCGCTCGCTCCGGCCTCAGCGCGGTGGAGGTGGAGGAGGAGTGCCGGAGGGCGACCGACGGCGAGGTCCTCTACCTCGAGGCGGGCGCACGCGCGAAGGCCGCCTCGCTGACGGGCGATGCGAAGGAGAAGGCGCTGATGCTTCGCGCTTTGCCGCTCGAGCTCATCGAGCTCAAGCAGTCCAGCTTGCGCATCCCGGAGAAGGACTGGAAGGCGCACGTGAGGTCGCTGCAGGACGCGCACGAGAAGACCAAGCCCAGCGCGGTGGTCTGCATCGACACCGCCACGGCCGACGCCACCGCCGCCGGCTCTTCCTTCGTGGGCGGGGATATCGAGCGGGACGTCCCGATCGAGTACGCCTGCGAGGGCTTCATCGATGAGGGCAAGAAGCTGTGGCTCGCCGTGCAGGTGCACAACGGGTCGAACAAGGTGATCAGCAAGACCGAGCTGGAGAAGGGTGGCTACGTGGTCAAGCTCACCGCGACGCACACCGAGGGCCAGGTCAAGCTCATCGAGGCGAGCCACTTTTACGCCGGTGGCGCGGCGTGGTTGCAGCCGAAGCTCGACGAGCCCGGCGAGTGGGTCTGCTCGATCGCCGTCGTCGACAAGAACGGCGCGACCGTCGGCAAGACGTGGGCGGTGACGATCCCGGTCGCGCAGCCGGAGAAATGCGCGTCCATCGAGGTCGAGTTTGAGGACGAGGACGCGATGCTGCGCGTGGGCGAGGCCCTCCCCCCGCTCGTGGTGACGGCGTTCGACTGTGTCGGCGTCCAGTTTGAGCTGTCCGCGCTCCCAGACAATCTGGACGTCGACATCGTCGACAAGAAGTCGCAAGGCCAGCGGCTGGAGCTCGACCCGTTCGATCAGCAGCAGGCGGTGCTCGCGGACGGCAAGATCCGCATCTACAACCTCGTGGTACGCGGCCCCTTTGCCACCGGCAAGCACGCGGGCAGCGTCAAGCTCGGCGTTGCCTTCGGCGAGCTTAAGGCCGCGAAGACGAAGTGGCTCGAGATCAAGTGCGGTCGGCCCGCCAACCTCTTGCTCGAGAACACGGAGGTGCTCTTCGACGCCGCGCCGTACGACGCCGGCGATTCACTGCCGCCGATGCGGCTGTTCTGCACGGACGTCCACGGCAACCCCGCCGGAGGCTGCTCGGTCTGGCTCGAGATGTCGCACGACGGCGAGGCCGGGTCCGATCCGTTCACCGGGCCGAGCGGGCCGTTTGAGACCAATGCCAAGGGCGAGCTGGTCTTGGGCGGTGGCAAGAAGGCCGGCTTCAAGGTCAATGGAGCTGTGCTGCGACCCGACGCGGAGGCAGTGGCCACCCTCAAGTTCGTCGCCACCCTCGAAGCCGAGGACGAGGCTGAGGACGCGGTGCTGGAGGTGCCGGTGCGGCTGGCGCAGCTCGAGCAGGAGGAGGAGCCCGAGCTGGCCACGCTGGCGATGTCCGTCGTGCCGGGCCCGGCGGGCTCCTCCACCCCGACCGTCGGCTGCGATGAGGAGTTCAAGATCGAGCTGTACGGCTCCGACGAGGTCGGCAACGCCTGCCGCCTCGACCCCGCCGACTACGCCAAACCATACCTCGCCAGCTCGGGGGGGCTGGGGGCGACTTGGGGCGACTGGAAACTAAACGGCGACGTGCTCGAGATGACGGTGCAGCTCAGCGGCAAGGCGGGCGACATCGAGATCGAGCTGCCCGAGTCTGACGCCCACCGTCACATCCACTGCGAGCCGCTGAAGCTCTCCCTCGTCGCCGGCGCGCCGAATGCGGTGGTCGCCTCCGTGGTCGGCAACCCCATCAACGGCGCGGAGCTGGTCGTGAGCGCACACCTCGTCGATGAGCACGAGAACGTCGTCGAGAGCCACGGCAGCGTCGTAGAGTGGGAGCCGCTGAAGGCCGAGGATCCGGACCAGCTTCACGTTCACTGCTCTGGGAGCGGCAAGAAGAAGGGCGTCCGCGCGCAGCTCAAGGCGACCGTGCTCGCGAAACAGACGCTGCGCGAGCCGGATGAGTTTGGCCTCGTGCTGTCGGCGCGCTTCAAGAAGGGCGGCGTCTGGCAGACCGTCACCACCGAGAGCGTCGACGCGGACCCCTTCCGCGTGACGCTGCAGCCCGGCGCCGCCGTCATCAGCGACTTGGTCGTCAGCCGCGTGCAGCTCGAGAACGAGGCGAGCGACACGACGAACGACTATGTCGACGACGACGTCGAGGCGAGGCCGACGCACGAGGTGCCGAAGGTGACGCAACCGCTGGAGCCCCTGCCGCCGCAGCCGCTGCATCTCACCGCCGAGCCCAGCGGCATGCTGCCGAGGCTTGCGCTGCGGGTTCGCTACGAGGACGGCGGCTTCCTCGAGCACCCCACGAAGTGCCAACTGCGGGCGAGGCTGGTGCGGAGCGGGGCGTCAGCGGAGGCGCGCACGGCGCGCAGGCAGCAGCAGCCGGCGCTCTTCTGGCCATCATCCGGCGACTGGCAGAAGCGCGCCGGCGGCCCCGTCGAGCTGAGCCCGCCCGGCGAGGCGCCGGTGCAGGGCCTGCTGCTGCAGGAGGTGCCAGCGCCCGCCGAGCCGGGGGCGTACTCGCTCGAGCTCGCCCTCTCCTTTGGCAGCACGACGAAGGGCCTGCCGCCCTCTCAGCTGCTCAAGAGCGCGGAGCGGACAGAGGTCACGGCGGCTTTCGCCATCGTCGTCGAGGCTGGCCCTCCCTCGAAGCTCCTTCCGGCGCTGCCCGGTGCCTCGTCTGCAGGCCCTTCCTAGACACTTCCGAGACACTTCCGAGAGACCTCGGAGACACCTCCGCGACACCTCGTCTGCAGGCTCGGGCTCGACAACAGCGCCGCTCAAGGTCGTGGCGAACGAGGCGACTGAGCTCGGCACGTTTGCGCGCCTCGTCGACGCCATGTCCAACCGGCTCCCGTCCGACGGCACCGTCCGCCTCTCGCTCCGGCAGTACGCGATGGGGTCGGAGGAGGGGCAGGGCATCACGCTCGAGATCGCGCAGCCGGACACCACGTTGCGCCTTGTCGACGGGGAGCTGTCGGCGCCGGCGTTGGCGTTGCGCGGCGCGGGCCCGTCGGGCCGGTACCAGCTCTGCTTTGAGCTCGAGTCCGATGCCCAGGCGTGCAGTGCAGCAGGCTCGCCATCCACCGGCACCGAAGCCAGCCGCTAGAGAGCTCGAGTGCGATCCATAGGTGTCGGGCTGGCTCGCGGTGGACTACGAGAACCCCGCCGACGAGGGGGAGCGAGAGGCGGAGCGGCATCGGCAGGCGGAGAGGCTGCAGGCGGCACAGGCCCGGCTGCAGGCGGCGGAGGAGGAGGAGGGCGAGCTCTCCCGGCGGCAAAAGGCATGTGCTGGTCAGGTCGGTGCTGCGAGGCGCGCGCACGACTGCGCCAGCGCGGAGGTGCGCAGAAGCCAGGCGCTTCTCGCGCAGAAGCGCAGCAGTCGCGACGCGTTCGGCTTGGACGAGGCGGCCGTGAAGCGGCTCAAGACCGCGCACGGCATCGGCGACGCGGACGCGGCGTCGGCGAGCGCGACGGGCGCCATGCCGCCGAACACGCTCGGCCAAAAGCTGCGGGCGAAGGTCGCGCAGCTCGAGGAGAGCTTGACGGTGCGGGTGAGCGTCGACGGCGAGGAGGCGGAGCGGCGGCGCTTCGGCGACTTCCCCATCCCTTTGGAGCCCGACGACAACTCGCGCGTGTGGCTCGAGCTGCGGCCGCGCTCCGACGCCGACGGCGCCCAGGGCCCGCACGGCATCTTCAAGGTTTACTCGCGCGGCGGCGAAGAGCACGCTGAGGGCCCTGTCGACGAGCAGACCCTCTCGCCCGACCCCGAGGGCGAGTACCTGCTCGACGCGCTGCAGCCCGCCGTGGAGAGCGGCCGCGTCGAGAGCCTCTTCGAGAGCGGCCGCGTTGCGGACGAGCGGCTCTCCAACATCCTCGCCGCGCTGCTGCCCTCGTGGTTTGGCGCCGACTGCGTCGTGCTCGCCCGGCCGCCCGCGGCGGCTCCGCCACCGCCATCTTTCTTTGCCCGGCTGAAGGCCAAGCACCTCAACCCGCTGGCGTCTCCGCCGCCCGCTCTCCTCCCGCCGCCGCCCGCCGCGGCGGCGGCGCCGCCAGAGGAGGACGCCGACTCTGGGCTCCTCAAGCTTGGCCCGGGCGGGTCGCTGCACCCCCCCTTCGACGGCGCAAGCTTCTTGGTAAACCGCATCTGCTGCGACGGCACCGCGGCGCGCACCGCATGGTACCGCGCGCTCGGCGGCTACGGCGATGCCATCGTCTTCGACAAGTCGAGCGCCATGATCGACTCCGACGCGCCGGCCTCCTCTCTGCTGGTTGCGCTCGAGGACGACGCGGGCTTGGTGGGCGGCGGCGGCGGAGGGTACGCGGTGCGATCCTCCGACGGTGGGATGGGCGCACTCGCCAAGCCCGCCTCCTCGGCGTGCCGACTCGGGAGGCTCACCGATGCGGACGAGGAGCAGGCGCTGAGCGGCACCGCCGAGGGCCGGAGGGTGGTTGAGTTTGAGCGGGCGGCGAGCGAGCTGAGCGAGCTGGAGCGGGCGGGTCGGGAGGCGGAGGAGGAGGAGGCCTCGGCGGAGAGGGCGTGGAGGGAGGCCGAGTGCGACTTGCGCCTGCTCGAGCAGGAGCTCGACCCGCTGCGCCACGAGGTGGAGCAGCTCCAGCAGCAGCTGGGCGTGGGAGGCACCGGAACCGGAGGCGGCCGCGTCCGCGGCAGGAAGCGGGCGCGCCAGGGGGTGGCTTAGTCCTTAGACCGATGCATGCATGTAAGAGCTGCGATGGTGACGAATTTGATCGAGGGTCCAGCAGTGTCGTCTTGTACGTTTACTTTTGCTAGGCCTAGGGTGCCCACAGGACCCAAAACCGCAAAAGAAAATAGCTCTGCGCCTCAAAAACGCAATGCTCCGCCGTTCGCTGCCGTGGTCTGCCGCCGTGCCGCCGCTCCTTACCGTGCCGCTCCTTCCGCGCCTCGCCGCCCTTGCCATTTATTCGCCGTCCCTCCTGCCGTGCGTTACCGCCGTGCCGCCGTACCGCCGCTCCTACAGTGCCGCGCCGCCTCCCACGCGCACACACCTTACCTCCTGCTCGACCGAGTTTGCGATGAGAAGTGACCCGAGCCGCCGGGTGCCCCGCAGCGGCCTCGCTGGACCAGAAGAACCGGTCCGCGAGTGCTCCGCAGCAGCCTCGCTGAGCCAGAACGTCGGCTCGCGAGGTGGGGTGCTAGTATGAGCCCGACCCAGGTCGTAGTGTTCTTGCTCCCAGCGCTTGCGCTTCGGCGGTTAGTGGTGCACTAACCTCCGAGAAACCCTTCGGGTCGCTCCTCATCGCAAACCCTGTCAGCAGAGTCTCCTACGGGAATGTACGTAAGAGCTACATACACTGAGAGAGAAAAAGGGACGCACGAGGCAAATCTGATGTTGGAATGTTTCAATAGCAGAGAGGCCTCTTCCGTTGGGGGACCGAGTGACTAGGAAACGAGGGTTCCCCATTGTGACCCGCTCCAGCGGCGAGCGTGACACTGCACTTGGCGCCGAGCGCCCCCGCGGCTCAGACCTTGTGCAAGAGCCGACCGCCTCGGTGAGCACGCCGGTCCGGACCGATGGCACTCGGTGTGGAGCAAGCAAGACCCCCCCTCCCCCCAATCGGCGCGCGCCCGAGCTTTGAACGGCCGCCAGGAGCACCTGGAGGACTCCTCATGGCTGTGCCCAAGTGGGCTTCGCGCCGGCCTCGGCTGGGGGGGCGGGTTGTCCCGGCTGCGGACACCTTCTGCAGCCCCCTGGGCGTGGGTCAGCACCCAAAAGCTGCCCCCCGGCGGCATACAGCACGGCCAGCCAGCCTCTTCCTCCTCCTCAAGGGCTGTACTATAGGTCATATTGCGCCGCCTCCTACTGGCAGCCGGGCGGGCGCGCGCCGCGGGCGCCTCGGCGCGCGCACGGCTCGCAAAATTCGAACGAGTACTGCCGCCCGGCCGCCTCAAGGCTGCCGGGCGGCAGTACTCGCCTCGCAAGGCGCGCACCGGCTGCTCTGGCTGCTGCGCCGGCGGCCGCTGCGCTGGCCGCTGCTGCGCTGGCCGGCGAGCGGTACGACCGCCGGTGGCCGCTGCACCCGCGCCTTCCCTCGCGGGCGCCGTCGCGCCGCGCGCGCCCAACTCTGCTGGCACACGGCACGCGTCGTCACTCAGCCGCGGAGAACAGGCGGTGCTGTGCGCGAAGCGCGCGCGATCTCGTACTTTCAAGGCTGGATCCGGCCATTTCAAGGGTATACCTTTGAGAATCCCCAGCGTCCCACCCTCCTAGCACTCTCAATATCTCGACTCTCCAACACGAAGTGCTGCGATCGAGGTTCGCCCATTTCTTTTTCCTTTCTTTTTGGGGGCCCTGTGGGCACCCTACTTTTGCATGATGGCGAACACCCGAAAAAACTGAAAAAAGAAGAGAAAGAGGTTGTTAAAGAGGCTGTACCTGTACCCCTCTTCGGACGTCGCAAAGAACTATGTCTCAGAAGAAAGAAAACAACAGGCAAAAACTGTTCAAGTTGTACCCTGAACGACTACATGTACTTATACCAACTTCGCCCCGCTTTCGCCGCCCCGCGTTTCTGCGTTTGGCGCCCCGCTTTCGCCTGCCCTGCGTTTGCGCCGCTCGAGTTACGCCGGCATGCGGTCCGAGGAGGAGCCGCCTCCTCTCACCAAAGAGGACTCGCTCGTCAACGCAGTCATGAACGGCGATGCGGACGCCGTCGCGCAGATGCTCGCTGAGGGCGCCGACCCGGACTGCAGCCGCTTCTTTGGCTTTGCCCAGATGTCCCCGCTTTGCATTGCATGCGTGCTCGGGGACGTCAAAATTGTGACGGCCCTGCTCGACGCCGACGTCGATGTTGGGATGCAGCACGACGAGATTGGCATTCAATCGCCGCTGAGTGCGGCGTCGCTCAACGGCCATGCAGCGATTTTGGAACTCCTACTCGAGCGAGGCGCTCCAGTCGACGACCCGGATGCGAAGGGCTACACTGCCCTCCACCTCTGCTGCGCCAACGGGCACGCAAAGTGCGCTCGGATGCTGCTCAGCGCCGGCTCATACGTCGACCGCGAGGCTCTGGACGGGTGCACACCCTTCTGGCTCGCCTTCAGCTGGGGCCGGCTCGAGTGCGTGCAGGTCGTCTCTGCCTGGGGAGCGGCGCGCGTCTTCCCGAGGGAGCAGGTCGGACGCCCGCTCCAGGTGAGCCAGGAGGTGCAGGCTTGGCTGGCAGTGAGCCGCGGGTGGGGGCCTCTGCACCACCTGGAAGTTAACCTCGCCGACCGGACGCTGCAGCTCCTTCGTGGCACAGGGGAGAGCCTCCACTCTGGCGGCGCGGCGTCGCCGCTCTCGCTCGCGCGCGCCCTGCAGCGGAGGGGCCTCGCGCCCAAGGGCTCCTCCGCGGATCTCGTGTTGCGAGCCGCCGAGCCGTGGTCGCCCTCGACCCACCACCTGTTCCCCGCGAGGGCGAGGGCGCGAGCCTCGCTGCTGGTGCGACAGGGCTGGCTCCTGTCGCGAACCCCCCCCTTTCATTCGCAGGCGCAGGCGCTGGTAGACGTATTTCGCGAACTCGTGCTCCCACACGCCATCTCGCGGGAGGAGGGCGAGTGAGAGTTTGAGAGAGGCAGCCTCGAGTCTCGAGAGACGAGAGGCGCGCCGTCTCTACACTCTAGCGGTACTAGCGGTAGCGCGGCGCAGTTCGGTCGAGAGATAGTGCTCATCGTGTATTATTTGATTGGCGGCGGGGGGCGGCCGCGCGCAGGCCGCGCGCCGGCCGCCGCGCGTGCGATCCCGCGCAACGTAAATAACAACTCACACACAATACAACAGTGTAAGTGTTCTCATACCGTCAAAACGCGAAAAGATCATCCCGCAGGCCGGTCGCGCTCGGTGCTGCGGACTCTCATCAGCCCCTCCTGGGAGGTGGAGGCGACGAGGCGGCCGTCCTCGCTCCACACCTCGCCCAGCGCGAAGCCGCGGCCGCCCGAGGCGGAGGGCGAGCGCATGACGTGGCAGAGCCACGCGTCCATCCGGAAGGGGCGGTGGAAGGTGACCTATGGGCACGTCTTGGACATGGCACGGTTACGGACGTGGCACGGACATATATGTCCATCCGAAGGGGGCGATCGGGTGACCGAGTGCGACAACGAGGCGGCCTGCAGCTCTCGCCTCCACATCGCCGTCGGGTGGGGCTGCAGTGCGGTGCCGAGCAGCGCCCAGTCCGTGAAGTAGGTGAGCAGCCGCTGGTGGACGGCCTATGGACACGTCTTGGACATGTCATGGGCGGTGTCCTCAGCCGGTGAAGCGGAGCCGCTGATGAACGCCTCGTCGCCGGGCGGCAGCGGGTCCTTCGCTCTCACCCACACCGCCTGCCGCGGCGCGCGCACGCTCTCGTCCCAGGGCGCCACAAACTCGCAAGGCCGCAGGTCGAGCGGGTTGGCCTCGGCGCTGTACAGCTGCCGCAGCCGCGGCGGCACCTTTGCCAGGTGCGGCGCGAAGCGGTCGGCGAGGGTCGGAAGATCCTCCGGCGCCTGCAGGGAAGTGTCCAGGAAGTGTCCAGGCAATGTCCAGGACCGAGCGGTACGCGAAGATCCTCCGGCGCCGGGAGGCCACGAGCGAGCGGGCCAAGGCCGTCCTGGTGCTCGAGGCCTCGCTCGGCTCGCTGGAAGCTCGCCGTCATGGCGAGGATCGGCGCGCCCTCCTGCGACGCCCGCACGGCGATGGCGGAGAAGGAGCGACCGTGGGAGAGCACCTCGCAGTCGAATCGGATGTCAGCCGACACGTCGCCGCCGCGGAGAAAGTGGCAGCTCAGCTGGTGGACGGAGAAGTCGCCGCCGACAAGCTTCTGGCAAGCGGCGAGCGCCTGTGCCATCGTCTGGCCGCCGTACACTCTGCCCCACCCGAGGTCGACCGACCGGCCCACAAACGCGGTGCTCGTCTCTGCGACGGGCGAGACGTCGACGTGCCGCACGAGCGCGTCCGCAGTGACGCGGCGAGTCGCGGCAGTGCAGAGGCGGGCGGCTCGCACCAGCGAGGGCGCGGCGCGAGCGGACAGCATCGCTGCACGAGAAAAGGCTCGCCCTGCCAGGAGGGACCCACTCTGACCTGTTCCGACCGTCATCACTTTGAACATGGTCGGATCAGGGTCGGAACAGTGTCGGAACAGGGTGAGCCCTGTGGTGACGGTCCTATTTCCGGACCTTCCTTTCCTTTGAGCACTTGAGCACCGGATACTCGAGTAGGGTCGATTCCGCATGGTACGGGACCCCTCGATCGTCTCGCCCTCCCTCACTGGTGTGTGTTCATCGGGGGGGGTCATAACAAACACGGTACAGGATCGAGGTGCACGCTGCCAAGGCAGTGTCGTCCCCCCTCTCCCCGACGGCGATGGCGGTGTGACCGATCGAGCTACAAGAGGAGCTTGTTCGGCATGATCGGGGTGAGCCGAGCAGTTCTTTCCTTTCGTGATCAGCCCATGTTCTGACCGTGTTCGGCAGCGTTCGAACACGGTCAGAACAGGGTTGGATCAGGGTCGGAACACATGTGACAGAGCTGCCCCACACGTACGGCCCTTTTTGCCGACCTTGATCCGTACTGTGTTCGACCGTGATCCGACCGGGTGTTGAGGGACGATTTCATTCAGAATGACCAGGCGCGCGATACAAACACAGACCAACTAGGTACTCGAGTTGGAGAACCCCCCCCCCCTCGAGACCCCCTGGGGTCGACCCGGCCGATCGGGGTGAGATTCTTGGTGGTCTTCTTGCAGCGGTCGACCAGGTTGGGCTCGCCCTTGCGCTCGATCTTGCGGAGCGGGGAGGGGGTCTTCCACTCGTCGATGCCCTGCGCGTGTGCGAGAGGTCATAGGGTCAACATGAGTACCGCACGTGGGACTCCCGTGTCCCCGCAATAGCAATACCCATGTATGCACGTGCTGGGAGAATCTCACCGCCGGGGCGAGCTTCTCCGCTGGCGGAGACTCCTTGGCCGAGATGGTCCAGTCGGCGTCGCCCTACGCAATGAAAGCGGGGTGGGGTCAAGGGGTGCCGGCGGACTTCTCGGCGGCGGGCTCGTCGGTGGCTGCCTCCTCGGACTCCTCCTCGGTGGCGGACTTGGCGGCGGCCTCCTCGGTGGTCGCCTTCTCGGTGGCGGCCTCCTCGGCGGTCGCCTCCTCGGTGGCCGACTCGGCGTCCTCCTCGTCGGCGGCGGACTTGGCGGCGGACTCCTCGGCGGCGGCGGACTTGATGCCGCATGCCTGGGTGAGGGGAGAACACGCAAGTGTGCGGAGACAGGGAGACCGTAGGGATGATGACAATCCTGGCGTGCGCACACTCACCTCGGCTCCGAGGTGCGAAGGCAGCGACGACAAGTAGATCTCGTCCACATCGCCGTCGGGCTTGGCCGTGTCCACTGCGGGCTTGGGCGCGGCCTTGACGTCGTCCTTGACGCCGCACGCCTGTGGGCGAGAGCGAATACGCAGGTGTTCGGAGACGGGGAGATTGCACGGAATGTGCTCTTGGCGTGCGCACACTCACCTCGGCTCCGAGGAGCGAAGGCGACAGCGACGTGATGCCGACAGGAGCCGTCGGCGCCGACTCGGACGGGACGTCATTGCCGTTGCCGATGACGTCATTGAGTGATGCGGGCTCGCTCTCGGACGAGATGCCGTCGTGCTTGCCTCCGGCAGAGTCGACGACGGACGAGGGCGGCGACGGAAGTGGCAGGCACGAGGTTTTGTCGACGGTGAACGTGAGGCGCCGCGAGGTCTCGGCGCCGGCGAACGATGCGCCTACCGACGCCGCAAACACGACGCCGACGTACTCGAGCGAAGCGGGCTTGCCCTCGGACGGGATGACGTCCTCGAGCGAAGCGGGCTGGCCCTCGGACGGGATGCCGGCGGCCTCGCCTCCGGCAGGGTTGACGGTCGTGTTGCCCGCCAGCGACGCCTGTGTCAGCCAGAAGGCCAGAGGATAACATAAGTCTTGCAGACGGGAGCGCATTGTCACGTGCGCGCAAGCACACGCCTGCTTGTCAGCAAGCGGCGGCGGCGGAGGAGAGAGCTTGAGCACGAGCTTGTCACCGGCGGCCGGCACGAGCTCGAGTTTGAGCTTGTCGAGCATGTTGATCGAGTTCCTGCAGCGCGCGTGGGTATGCACGCCAAAGAGGGTCGATAGATGCAGCTCATGGAGAAGGCTGTGTGACGGGTTCATGTGATAGAACTGCTGCTGCTGGTTAGTTACTGGATGTACCAGCAGACTGTGCAGAGCACTACTATTATGACTGGGGACTGGAGACTTGCAAAGCCTCCTGTTATTGCTGGTTACTGGAGACTGTGCAGAGCAGTACTATTATTACTAAACTGTGCAGAGTCAATCTCGGCGAATGGAGAGGTCAGCACCTACAGGTTCACGACGATGTGAAAGTCAGTCTCACAATGCTACAGAGATGTCGGGGGAATATGGGGGTATATGGGGTACATGGATAATAGTCTTGAGCTTGAGTGAAAGAGGGCCAGGCACCATCCAGAAAGAGGTGCGGAAGTCCCAACGGGGCCACCCGGGGCATCAAGCCGAGACTCGGCGGTCATGTGTCAATCTCGGCTTGATCTCGGGGTCAATCTCGGCGAACGGAGAGGTCAGCACCCCACCTACGGGATCATGACCATGTGAAAGAGGGTCAAAAACTGCTATGGAGATGTCCAGTGGGTATGTGGGGGGGTATGTGGGGGTATGTGGGGGTATATGGGGGTATATGGGGAGGAGAATATCTCGAGGAATCTCCAAATGCTCCGAGGAGAAATGGATCAATCGTCGCAATCTCCACCCCGCCGGCCACCCACCCAGCCAACCACGCAGCCCCCCCGCCATGCCCTCCCCTCCCCCTCGAGCCTCGCCTACACAGACAAAAAGAAATCGATCGGCCCGCGTGGTTTGCTAATAAAGGGCAGGGCCATGCTCAGAGAGAGAGAGAGAGAGAGAGAGAGAGAGAGAGAGAGAGAGAGAGAGAGAGAGAGAGAAACAGAGAGAGAGAGAGAGAGAGAGAGAGAGAGAGAAACAGAGAGAGGGTCGAGCCAGGTCACTGCCACACCTACGGGCAGCACGCCGCGGCGTTAGCGTCGCGACGACCGGCACACTCTCTCGTGTCCTCGGCGCTCGGACTGGAGCCGGGCAGCGATTGGCAAGCGAGCGGGCTGCGTCGCTCTCTCGCCGGAAAAGAGTGGGAGCAATCGGGCGGGTTCGCTCGGTGTAAGGGTGGGAAACGAGCGGCAGCGGCCGCGTCTCGTGGCTCCTCGATGGCAGCAGCCTCACCTGCGAACGGGAGGTGGCAGGCATTGTGAGGCCGAGAGGGGGCGAAGCCGCTCGGGCGCCAAAGCGAAGCGCATCGCATGGTGGGAGCGGAGAGGGAGCGGCGGGTTGCGTGAGCAAGAGGCGTCGCGCCGCTCGGGCGTGCAGCTCCCCGCGGCCATATGTGCGTCGATGAAGCGGGGCCAGCGCGAGCGGAACGGGAAAGGCGAGGGTTGGCCTTGTGGTGTCAGCAAAGTCGGTCAGAATGGGCGTGGGAAAAGGGGGAACTCTGGGTTGCTTACTTATGAAAGTGGGATCCAGACTCGTTGGTGGTCCTCGTTGGTGTAAAAAAAGAATCTTATAATTCGACTCCCTCGCACGACACTAGGCACGGGTCTGGCGCGCACTGGCACTAACAAAGAACATACAATAAACAAGAGGAGTTTTAAAAACAACAACAGAAAAGAACTGCTCGGAGGGAGATTTTTGAAAACCATTGACATTGAGCTATCTTCTTTCTTTCGCGGTTTCGAAGTTGATGAGACCTCGTCCCCCCCTCGCTCTGCCTCAGTCCGCACAACACTAGGCACGGGACTGGCGCGCACTGGCACTAACACAGGTACACCACAAGGAAAAGAAACGAGACGGGGTGCAAAACAAAACAAACAAAATCTCTCCTAGACGGGGTGCGCGAGGAAAGAAACATGTATACAGCCGAAGCTGGGTGAGTACTGGGGGTTGGCCTTTACACGCTTTTCTCTGCAAAGGCTATCTATATTCTTTGCATCATATTCTCTCTGGGCCCTCTATATTCTCGAGAATATTCTCGAATATTGAGAATATTTTGACCTCGCGTATATCGACGGAGACCAAAAGTCGCTCCCAAACCCGCTCAGAACCTCCAAAACTTAAAGATTTCAGTCGGCATCGACCCGAAACCTACTGTTGAGGGGGGAATAGCTGTTTCGAGCTCTCTCGTCAAGACCGTTTTAGACGCCGCACAGCGGCAACGTCAAGAATATTCAAGAATATCTTTGGACTCGAGGTCCACCAAGGTCAAGGGCTGCGGAAAGCTCGTATATTCTTGAGGGAAAAGCCGTAGTATGCCATCGACCCGTCCCCTGCCCCCTCGCCCTTGCTCTTCCTCTCTCCCTCCATGCCCTCGCCCCCATACCCCTCACACTCCCCTCCCTATCCCCCCTTCCCCCTCCCCCTCGCCTCCCTCCCCCTCCTCGCGGTAGGGCCCATGCCCCTCGACCATGTTCCGGTAGAACGCCTCGGTGTTGCCGAAGGCGACAAAAGCGCCCTTCCGACCATGCTCCCCGCCGCTGGAGGCTGGTGAGGGGGCAGACAAACTTGACATCGCCTGAAAAGCGCTTGCCGCCCCTGCCAATGTTGCGCGTCCACGTCGGGTTGTTTGTTGTAACTCTGACCGAGGTGGCCTTTCGGCTCCATTCGCACAGCGGTGCCCAGGGAAGGGGAGAACGCAGAGAGAAATGAAAGCCGTCCGGCTCACAAGTCAAAATAATTCCAACGGGAGCCAGTAGTGAGTGCGTCTGCTTCTCCTTTTCTCTTTTACGCCTGGGAAAATTATTTTTTGTCTTCTTCGGGGTAAATTCATTTTTTGGACCAACGACTCTGAACGCCGAACCAATCCGTGTTTGACCAATTCGGCGGCGTGCCGAGCACGAGCACGCCTGCCAACCTGCGTGGTTCGTAGGGTCAAAAGAGGCCCGTCAAGGTTATGCTCGACTCTGGCACCACGCCGGCAGGCAAGCGCAAGCGCCAGCCGATCGATGTCGAGGTTTGCTGGGGCAGCATCCTCTCGGGCGGCGCGTCAGTGTGCGAGGTGGTGCCTCTCAAAGACGGAGCGTTCCGCAACAACTTTTGTGCACGGTGCAGGCAGCGAGGCGTGCTTGTCCCCGTGGCGAGAGTGCGAGTGACGGTCGGGACGGCTGAGCTCTCCAACCAACGGACCGCCGGCGTGTGGAACAGCCCGTCCCGCGATGCGCCCTGGCCGGACTACCGACTCATCAATCAGACGGCAGACTGCACCGGCCCGCGTCTGGTGATCCTGAGGAACGAGTGCTCGGCAGACCTCCCAAACCTCGCACCTCTGCCACCGCTGCCGGCCGTCACCTCCCTCCCGTGGCCCCCGCCCGGCTTCATCGCCTTTCGCGTCGGACGGACTCTCGTGCCGATGATGCCTCTCCCGCGGAGCTTTGCCGTGGAGGCGGAGCGGGTGGCCGCCGCTGCGACAGGCGCCGGGACGCAGGCGTGGCAGCAGTACGGCAGCGGCCCCGGATCGCCTGCGTCTCCTCCTTTTGAAGACGCGATCGCCCACCGGCCGTCGACCTTTACTTCGCAAGCGCCCTCCCTGCTGCCGATAGCGCCCTTCCCCTCGATAGCGGTTGCGATAACTACCTCCCTGTTGCCCGCCTCTGCAGCCGCCACAGCGCCCGCCGCAGCGCCCGCCGCAGCGCCCGCCGCAGCGCCCGCCGCAGCGCAGCCGTCCCCGCTCGCTGCGGGTCTGGCGGCGCACGCGGTGGACGACCTGGTCGAGCGCCTGGACGACTTCCTCGACCGAGAGCCTGCCGAGAAGATCGCAGCCTTACTCGGCCTAGCCCCCCCGGCGGGTGCATCGGCGCTTGCGCCGCTAGACGCTTCGCCAGTGCCAGCACCGCCCGAAACTCCTGGCGAAGGCGAGTGGGACCGAATGTTCGCGGGCATCTTTTCCCCCAGCGAGATCGAGTCCATAAGGCGCGACTGCTCAGGCGATACCTCCGCGCCGCCCTCGCCACCGGCGCCCGACCCAGCGCTCCTCTCGCGGCCCAAACTCAACGGGGGAGCGGGCGCTGCGGTGGCTCGCGCACTGGCGGTCGGAAAGGCGGAGGTGCAGACCGGCGCTTACACCAAGCGGCGCGTTTTGCTGTGCTCACGCTGGCCCCTGCTCCACGACGCGTCCAAGACGTGTGCCATAGGCTTGCTGCTCAAGCTCGCCTCCCTGCTGATACTGCTGGCGAAGCAGGCCACCGCCGCCATCCTCGCCGGCCACAAGTTCCACATCGCCGTTGCTGCTCTTGCCGCAGCCTCGCCTCTGGTTGCAGGCTGGTCATATTTGGGATACCCAGGAAGCATCATGACGCACCTTGTCGGCGGCCTGCTGATAGTCGGCCACGTTGCCTGCGGCCCGCGTTTGACTGCTCGCTTGGGCACGACTCTTCTTGTGGTGGGGTACGCACTCTTCGTCGCAGCACGACTCGTCGGCTGGTCAACACTCGATACGGCGCAGCAGATCGAGCGGTTTGATAGGCTCCAACGCGAGCCACTCGCCGGCATTGCCTTCTTCGCAAGCTTCGGCGCGTGGCTCGGCTCCCAGCCATCCGAGTACTCCTCGCCAAAGCATAAGTTGCGCGTCGCCGCCATCATCACCGCCCTGATGGTCGTCAACAGGACCATCATTTGGGTGCGCACCGGTCAGCTGCGGTCGCTGTCTCAAGGTGTGCTATACGCCTGGGGGCCGTTCAACTTTGGAGTGCTGGCAACCATGTACGTACTGTACCTCCGGCAGGATGGTGCGAGTGCACGTTCAGGACGACGTGCAGCACGCGTGTGATAGGGAGCAAGGGGAGATGTGGGTTGTGGCGCTACGAGGATGCGAGGACATGCGAGAATGCCGGCCACTAGCCGTAGCAGCTTGTCTGTCTGGGTGGAGAGGGCTGTAGGCGCGCGACGTTGGGGACGACTGTACACTACCTTCGATGCGAGTCCACACCATAGGCGCGCCCATTGCCAACGCCGCATGTAGGGTCATGATAGACGCTTTGCCTCTCCACTAGTCGTAGCAGCCTGTCTGAAGTCGCGGCGCCGGTGCCCTCGCATGTGCTCTGCTGTACTAGCCATGTTCGTTGCGCCCGCGGACAGTAGAAGCGCGCGCAGCTATATACATTTTTACCGTAGTAACCGGCACAAACAAAATATCGCTCCGAGCGGCGAGCGTGATTCCTTTGACAATACTTTGTGTGTGAAATCGCAAGAGGTGTGATTTCAAGAGCGTGATGCGTGAAAATGACGTGCCGAGCTTTGAGATATCATGACTCCATAATGGCGATGCAAGCGGGGAAATCCTGATGCTGAGGCTCAGGATGTGTGGCAGCCCCGTTGACTGAGTGTTTCGCAGTGAAACCACCCCCCTGGGGGCGAACCGTCTTCGGTTTCGTCGGTTGCAAGTGCACTATCAACCCACGAAACCCGAAAAGAAAACGTGCAGGGGGAAAATACATCGTCACCAGATCGTATACAGTATAACTAGGGGCTGTGTATACGCTTTGCGGTGTCTTCTATATTACGCAGGCTCCGCGGGCGACGACGCGACGACCGCTGCGTCCCCTAGCGCTGGACGCAAAGCGTATACACGTGTGCCGCCGCGGTGCCGCCGGCGGCCGTCGCCTCTCAGGCGCTGGAGAGCTCTCGTCACGCCGCGCCGAAACTCCGCCTCGATCGCGTGCGGGAGTAGGGCCGGCAGGGCAAACGGCAAGCCGAGCGGGTGGATGACGGTCCGCACCCACCGCCCGTCGCCCGTGCGGAGGTAGGCGACGGCGAGGATCGACGAGCCCAGCGCGACCAACGCCGCCGCGAGGAGGAGCTTGAACGAGGTGCTGCGCGGCTGTGCACTGTGGACCAACCCGAGCGAGAAGGTCACGGCGAACTTGAGCGGCGAACTGCTCGTGTGGTGGTCGAGCTCCGACTCGATGGCCGCGGCCGGCCGCAAAAACATGGTCGCGACAGCCGTGGCGGGGATGAGGATGCAAGCGGCGCACCAGACGTGTCCCGCCAGCCGTCCGTTGCCCGAAGCGAGCTGGGTCAGGTAGGCGGCCGCGAAGAAGGGCAGCGTGAAGGCGCCGGGCCGCGCAATCCAGAGCGGGACCGAGGGGCGTGGCTCTTGGGCGTAGTACGAGGCGGAGTGGGAGCGGACCCAAAAGACCACGGGCAAGAATGCCAGCGCCTGCTGGAGCACGGCGCCGCAAGGTGAGCGCGAGAGCACGCGCCGCGTGCGTGGCGTCAGCAGGAGGGCGAGCGTGACGTAGCTCGCGCCCGCCGAAGCGCCCGCGCCAAAGGAGGCCAGCCCGGTGGTGAGGAGGACGGGGATGGCGGCCGAGCCGACGAGGACGATCGGTAGACGCGCCAGCGGCAGCCACGAGCGCGGCGCGAAGAGCATTGGCGCCGGCATGTGCGGCTGGCGTCCTGCAGGCGGCGCGGGCGGCGCGGGCGGCGGCGCGGGCGGCGTGGTAGAGGTACTCAGCTCGCCGCTCACCTCCGGAGGCGACGGTGGCGGTGTGCTGCCCAGCCCGCCATTGCCGCTGGCCCCCAGTCTGGCGGCGGTCTGGACGTCTGCCGGCGGGATGTACCCTGGGGAGGGCAGCGAGGCGCCTGCCCCCACGGAGCATGAGTACGGCATCGGCGGCATCGGCATCGACATCACCGTCGCCACTGGCATCATCGACGGCGGCGCGCGAGAGAGCTGTTTGTTGCGAGTGGAAAGGGGCGAAGCCCCGGGCGCTGCCGCGTGCCGGAGGCTTTGCCGTAGCCGGTGCGGTCGACGGCGCTCGGGCTGCCGACCTCTTTGGCGAAGTTGAAGATGATTCTTGGTGCGATGCCGCCCTGGCTTTCGACGAGACAAATTCACAGCCTTGTTATTGAGAAGAAAATACACAGCCTTGTTAAATTCCTCGTATGGCGCTGTGCGCTGGTCTATGAGAGGTTGAGGTGCGAGCCCTGGAGGCCCTGGGGATGGGGGGAGACTACCCGCGGGCCTAGAAGGCCCGCGCGCGCAGGATTCACATCAACGCACAACCCCGGGTCCCGAAATCGCACAGTGACAGTCAGACATGCAACACGGGGCCCCAGGGAAGGCAAGCAAAAACCTTATGACGCGCGCTAGTCGCCGACTCGGAGGCCGCACCGGTCATGCGCGCACACCGGACGTTCACAGGTCGGGTGAACCCGGCGGCAGTCTCACTTTGTCTTTGATCTTTGTTTGTTGCAGTCGGAGGCGCGGAAGCGATGGTGGCGGAGAGGCAGGCAGAGCGGTGGCGGGTGGGCGACGGACGGTGGGGTGAGTGGGGAAGGCGGCAGCCGCGAACCAGCGACGGGTCCGGCGACTGAGCTGCAATCGAGCCAGTCAGCCAGATCCCCTGCGGCTCCCTCCGTCCGACTCGGGCTCGGGAGGGGAGCACGGTGGTGCCGGGTCGATGTCTGGAGTCGAGCTTGGAGGGCGAAAATAAAAAAAATGGCGCGGCGCCTCACCAGCGAATTCCTGGAACAGCGAAGTGCTCCGCCGAAGAGCGCCGCGGCCCTCAACAAACCCCTGCCCTCAACCCATCGATGCCGGAGAGCACGGCGAAAGTTGCGCGCGAGGACCCTGCCGATGGGCAGTTTGCGGTCGTCGCCGAGCGCGGAAGCGTGCTGGTCGACGCCGACACGCTTTCCTTCCTCTCCGGTGCAGCCGATCGGCAGGCTCCCGGCGGTGCGGCCCTGTTCCACGCGCCGCTTTCGAGTGTGCGGCTCGGTGTCACAAGCCTCGGGGCGCGACGCATCGCGGCCGCGCGCGCCTGACGGCGCCCGCCCCTGTGTCCCAGGCCTCAACCTCTCCGACCCCGCCGCCGTCAAGCTGATGGTCGTGCCGCGTGCGCGCGGGCCATGCTGGCTTTGCGAGTTGCCCCGCGACGCGGCGACCGAGCTTCTCGTCCGGACGCTCCGCGCGCGCATCGCCGATGTCCACGTGAGGGCATGTATCTGGGAACTGCCCGCGCCGCGAGTGTGGGTTGCACTGTGGGAGGGGTGGATGGCGCACCCAGACAAGCCGAGGGCGAGAGACCGGAGAGGGAGCGCGCGTGCGGAGCGTTGTTCTATCGCACGCAGGCTATCGACCGCCGCCACTGGGCGCGCGCAGGTGCTTGAGGCCGTCAGCACTGCCGACCAGATCTTGGATGCCAACCTGGAGCGGCTGGCACGCAGCCCAGCCGATCTGGCCAGTCTGGTGCGCTCCGTCGAGGCTGCCCTCGCCCGACGCGAAGCGCAGGGGCGGCCGCTGCTGCTCTGATCCGTCCTTGGCTTGTCACGCCTCGCCTTTGGTGTCGAGGTCAGTGCTTTGGAAGGTGCGCACATGGCAATGTTTTGGACCACATGCGCGGACAAAGGCGAGCGGATGGGGAACAAATCCTCCCACTGTTTGTGCGACAGGGGCGCACCCACGGCTCACGCGTGATTGAACCGAGCCCAACTTGGCGTTTGTTCTTTTTTTGTGCGAGTGCGGAGTGGTTGTGATACCGCCCCCGCCGTGGGAGCGGCGGGGGGGGGGGGGGGGGTTTCTTTTACGCGTACGACAAGCTCTGCCAGCAGCAGTGAGCAGAGCGCACTGGACCCAGCTCGAGTGCTCGACTAGGTCCAGCCCTGGGTGGCGCAAGATCTGACGTTTGACAATCGTCAGACCCGTGTTTTTCTCGTTGTTTTGTCGCTCGCTCCGCTCGCCACCTCACGCTTCCGTAGTCCGGCCATGGCCAGTACCCCGCGTCTCAGTGAGACGCGTGGTACCATCCAACTCCGGTCGACGGGCTCGAATGCGCTCAGCCTCAGGAGGGACAAAACCACGCAAATTCTGCACGCCTCGCTGCGCCGCTGGCTTGACTGAATCAGCAGCAGGCTGCTGCTGCTCCCACACAGCAGCAGGCTGCTGCGGCCCTAATACGCAAGTTAATGACGGTGATCTCAGGCCCAGTGAGGTAGTGCATCTGACTATCCTGGATCCTGCTGAACAAGTTCCTCTTGTAGCTCGATCGGTCACACCGCCATCGCCGTCGGGGAGAGGGGGGACGACACTGCCTCAGCAGCGTGCACCTCGATCCTGTACCGTGTTTGTTATGACCCCCCCCCCCCATGAACACACCAATGAGGGTGGGCGAGACGATCGAGGGGTCCCGTACCATGTGGAATCGACCCTATCAAGTGCTCAAGTGCTCAAGTTAATGACTAGCAGCACTGCCGGGGGCATACGAGCCGCCACAGCCGGTGTGCGGCCGTGTGCACTGCCACCTGCCCGCGGCTACGCACAATGTGCGCTCGCATTGGATGAGCCCTGCTGATGGACCTGCGTCGCCTAGCTACACGAGAGCAATGCCGCAGGCGGTGGCCGTGGCATACACTGCGAGCACACTCGGTGCAGCTGCGAGGTGCAGCAAGAGCACGTCGTTCCTGCCTCTGATGCCACTCTCGCGGCTTGCAGCGCGTCACTCACTCGCGCATGCTCTCCAGGAGCTATGGCGGGCGCGTGTGTGGGGCTGTAGCCTGTGTTTGGCCGGTTCTGACCCGTTTACTATCAGTATCATGCCCGGGCCACAAAAAATCGCACACGGGTAGCGGCTCAGGGGCCCAGTAAGTCGCGGAATCGCCAAATGTCACAACCTGCGCCACCCAGGGCTGGACCTAGTCGCTCCCGCCTCTTCGCCGCCGCCCCCCCCCCCCCCCCCCCTCGGCTCGTGCTTGAGCGGTACGAGGCGGTTGTGTTCACCGCGCCGCGTGGCTGGCAAGTAGGGTACGCCGGTGAGACCACTGTTTTGGTGCCGACCTTAAATTCTGCACCGATCCGCGCTTCCCGTACCCGGAGCAGAGGCTCGGGGTTGGCATCTACATGGCAAGACCCTCCTGGGCGCTATTTCAATCGCAGCCCAACCAGTACCTTTGCTATTCCACAATAAACGCCGCCGAGGGGTTGGAGCCCTGCCACGGCGACAACGGCGGCATCTGCCCGTATTCGAGTTTTTGTTGCCTAGCGGAAGTGGGGGACTGTCCCCAGCAATGGGACGGGTACGGGATGGTGCCCGTGCCAGGCGTCAACATTTGCGAGCTCCCTTCGCCGTCGGCCTGAGCTGCCCAGCGACGTCGGCAAGTGTCGAGCGCAAGCGACAGCGCGCGGAAGCGCGCCGAGGCGAGCGCGAGGCTGCTGCGAGCGAGGCGCGAACGGTCCAGCCGAACGTGAGTGCAGCGCCCTCCGTCGGGCCCGACGGACCAGAGTCGTACACACCGGGAGCGGCCAGGACTCATAGACTCGGTCGAAAGACCCTAGATTGGCATCCATGCCTCTCTGGACCGCCACACACAAGGACCCCAGGAATTGCGACTCGCCGCTTTACTCCCGCTGTGATTCTGTGTGAGCTCTGTGTCTTGATTTGCCAACAATAGACCTAAACCTCACACCCAGGGCCAGGGAGCCTAGTGCAACCAACGCGACCAAAGGATATCAACCTCGAGAACCTCGAGAGTGCAAGCTCCAAAAAAGAAATTGGCCAGCGCGGTTTTGGCCATTTTTGCTTGCTGGTCAAATCGCAGTCAATGTCGACGCCCAAGCTCGGGACCGACGATGCGTGGTGGGGAGCGGGGAGCCGCTACGACGCCACGAAACGCGCGATCGAGAGCATAGGCCTCGAGGAGCGTTGGTGCGAAGTTCTCAAAGCGGCAGGCTACGATGATCTGGACCTGGCGAAGCTTGGCTCGATGGACAGCGTGCAGCTCGGGACGCTGGGTCAGCGGCTGGGCATGGACGACGCGTCGAGCGTCGCCTTTGCCAGCCGCTTTGGCGATGCGGCCCGCGTCGAGGCGCTCAAGATGGTTGAGGCGATCGGCGGCGACAAGGCGTCCCTCGACGAGAAGGTGGAGAGGCTGAAGCAGCAGGCGGAGGAGGAGGAGGCGCTGATCCGGAAGGCGGCGGCGATGCTCAACAACCCCCGTGTCGTCGACACCACCGTCGAGCAGCGCATCGACTTCCTACGCTCCAAGGGCCTCACAGCCTCGCAGGAGCGCTCTTCCCACGCTCATGAGCACCCCGCCACGCAGCAGAGGATCCCCCGCGCTGACGCACCGCCAGAGACTGCCTCGCCCCTCGCCCTGGCGCAGATCTCGCGCGCCCTCGAGCGGGCCGGCCTCGACCTCGCGGAGATGGAGCCCCTCGCCGCGGCGATGGGCATGGCGGCTCGCGGCCCCTAGAAGCGGAAGACGGATTCTTGTGCTCCACCCAGCGATCGAGAGGACACGGACTAAACTGTCCTCGATCGTACTCGGCTGGGTTTTCACTGTAGTCGCACCCCTCGGTATTCACGCGGTGCTCTGAAGACACTGCACGATCCCGTACTCCCGCCCTGAGGTTGGCGTATTCAGCACGCAGGCTCTCGGCAAAGCACGCGGCGGAGGCACCGGCCGGGGCGCACCAGCGACAAAGGCGGCGGGGGCGAGCGATGAGGGGGAAGCGGCGGCGGCCGGCGAGGCGGCTGCGGCCGGCATGGCCATCACAAAGCCGGTGGCCTTCCCCGAGGAGAGGTTCGCAGCCGCGGTGCGCAGGGCCGCGACCGTCGACCCCGACGCGCCGTTTCCCGGACTCAGCCGGTGCCCCCCCCCCTCACCACACACACACACACACACACACACACACACACACAAACACACACACACACACACACACACGCACGCACGCACGCACGCACGCACGCACGCACACACACGCACGCACACACCGCCCCGCCCGCCCGCCTCCCTCCCTCCCCTGGCACCTCCTGCCGGGCAGAGGGGGAGGGGAGCTTGACGCGAGCTTGACGCGAGCTTGACGCGAGCTTGACGCGAGGCGCAGGTGCCTCCTCTTCTCCGTACCGCTGCTGCTGCTCTGTGGCGGCGCAGCCTATGCCTTCTACGACCCTCTCGTCTGCCGCCGGTAGATGCCCGCACAGGCGGCGCGTTGTGGCGCACGAGGACGTGTGCTTGTGGCCCCTCGTGGCCTGCGCAGTGCTCTCCCCTCCTCTTCTCCCCTCTTCTCCCCTCTTCTCCCCTCCTCTTCTCCCCTCCCCTCCCCTCCTCTCCCCTCCTCTCCCCTCCTCTTCTCCCCTCTTCTCCCCTCCTCTCCCCTCTTCTCTTCTCCCCTCCCTTCCTCTCCCCTCCTCTCCCCTCTCCTCCCCTCTTCTCTTCTCCCCTCCTCTCCCCTCTTCTTCTCCCCTCCCCTCCTCCCCTCCTCCCCTCCTCCCCTCCCCTCCCCTCCCCTCCCCTCCCCTCCCCTCCCCTCCCCTTCATAGCCCCTCCTACCCTCTACAGCCCCACCTCGCAAAGGTGCTCGCCACCGCGCCGCTCGTCGCCCCCTACTACCCCCGCGCTGCGAGGGAGCTGACGCGGCTGCGCGCGAAGGCGCAGACACAGCCGAGATCACGGCGAGATCGGACGAGATCGCGCTCTCCCTCAGCCGACTGACCACGCATCCTGCAGGAGGGCCCATTCCGTACGTTCGGTGTGTGTGTGTGTGTGTGTGTGTGTGTGTGTGTGTGTGTGTGTGTGTGTGTGTGTGTGGAGGGGGGGGGGGGGGCTAGCGCCCGCAGCGGCCCCAGTGGACTCCCCCTCGCGCCTTCCGAACCCCACGACTCGGCTGTCTTTCGGCTGTGTCTCTCGGCTACATCTCGGCTGCACTCTCTCCCCCTCAGCCTCGACCACGCGTCCTTCTTCTGAGATTGCCCGAGATCGCCCGAGATCGCCCGAGATCACCCGAGATCACCCGAGATTGCCCCGCAGGCGGCGCACGCCGCGCGGGTGGAGGCGGCGCGGCCCGCTGCAAGGTGAGCCGCGCGGAAGGAGGAAGGGGCTGCGTGGGCCCCGTCCGCGACATGTCCGCGACACGTCCGCCTGCTCTCGCCCGTAGGCAGGCTGTGGCGGAGGCGGTCAGCCGGGCGCGGGCGTCGGTCGAGGGCGGAGGGGCGGGCCGCTGGAGCAGCCTCTGGGGCGGCGAGGAGGAGGAGAAGGACGAGGTCTGAGGGAGAGAAGGGGGGGAGGGAGGTGGTGGGGGGAGGGGGAGGGGGGGGGGGGGGAGGGCACCCCCTGAGCGGGAGCAGCAGCCTGCACGTACGGCTCTATGTACGTACGCCCGTGTGTTGAGGGGTTTGCAACCCGGGGAGGGATTCGGGGTGCGGCGTCGGGGGAGACGGAAGTCGTGCTGAGCTGAGAGCGTCTCTCTCACGCTCGCGCCGGCCGTGCGTGGGATGAGATACTCCCCGGCGTAAGGCGCGCGCGGCATGTGTGCAGGCTAAATAAATAAAACGGACACCTCTACTAGGAGATGGGTAAAAAGGAACAGGTCCCCGCCCTGCGGTTACAGCTGTGTAGGCCCCTATGTATTTTACTCGGAACTCAAGGATCAAGCTCCGGGGAGCTTCACACCGTTCACGCTGGTGTGTAATCTGTGTACCTTAAGGTACTCTAATAATGGATGTCTGCGGAGATTCTGTCTTAGCACACACAGTGAGTCATTCGGAGTCATTCGATGGCCAGAGTGCGATTGTGTGTGTGCGGGAGTTGGTTTGTCGGGAGGGAGGGGCAGGCTGCTCACCCACGTTCACCGGGCCAGTGCTTGCACTTTGAATGCCTCGGGCTCCTGCCCGTGTCCGGGCGTGGAGATGCGAGGGTCGCCCCCCCTTGCCCCACCACTTTGTGTGTGTGGAGAAATCTACCTTACCTTACCTTGTGTACTCTATGGTGAGTCCTTCCCGCATCCCGGAAGCTCAAGTTGATCAAACTAACAGACAACACACGCGACACGCACGCACACCATCGAACACCAGGCACCACGCTCGTTTTGGACCCAGCGGAGCTCCACACGACCGAAATCCGAACGACCCGCGCCCACGGCCCACCGCCCAGACCCGGCAGACGAAAAACACAGGTACTTTAACAGCAAACACAAAATTACACCGTCAGGGGCGGCGACCCCCCCATCTACAGATGATATGCGCATTCTAGATGCCAAACGCCATCTAGGATGCGTTTTCCATCTAAGGACACCGGGTGTCTCCACTATGATTGGGTTCTCCAAGAAGAAGATTTAATCATCTTTAGACATGGTGCCCCGCGTCTTTTGATAGCCCGTGACATCTCAGATACTGCAGTCGTCTCCAGACGCACAAGTGTGCCGAGATGATACCCTCATCTTGGGGTTAGTCCATGCATCCCAGGATGCAATGTGGCATCTGAGAGGATGCGCAATGCATCTCAGGAACATGAGCGCATTGTCGGATTTGTCTCGTTCTGGCAGCGTCGGCGCCGGCCTGCTCCCACGCTGGGGCCACGCATCATGCTGCGCCGCGAGCAATCGCGTAACGGGAGGCTCTTGGAGCACTTGGAGTGCAGTCATTAGCCTCACATCCAGGGCCGGGGAGCTAAGGAGCGCACCCAGCGGGCCGGATGATCGGGATCGGGTTGCGGGCAAGAGAGCCCTAGCCCCGGGGGTGCGCGTTCGCAGGGCAAGGGCCTTAAAGTAAACACGGGTCTCCGAGGGTTAGTCCGCGCTCCAGGTTTCCCCTAGCAGCGGAGCGCCCCCAGGCTTGCTGGCTTTTTGTGGCTTTTTGGACGGCTTTTTTTGCTTCTCCCGCCCTCCCACCCCCCCTCTCTAGATTTTTTTCCCAAATTTTCGATCGACACAAGTGTCCGAGTTTTTTTGCCGAACCCGAACCCGAAATAAACACCAGTCTTACACATACAACCGACCGTCCATAGTGTATACAGTCAGCACATTAGCACAAGGGCTAAGTGCCCCCCACCATCATTCACTGGCTCCCAGTTCAATCGCCATCAGTAGTATTCCACAGAGTAAACAGTCACATCACACTACATGGCATAGCAGCTGAGATTAGCATAGATTCAGAGTCTCCACTCCAACTTTGATCCAAGGGCTCACACGCCGCTCAAGTCTTTATAATTTAACTTGCATTTTAATCATCAAATGCCAAGCAAGTTGGTTCTCGTGGGATGCGAAGCCGCATCTTCACGGTGACAACTTCAGATGATTCGAGCATCCCAGGATGCGGCTCCCCGGCATCTTTTAAAGATCATCTTAGCGGTTGAAAAAAGTAAAAACCATCGAGAGATGCTCGAGCATAGGCAAGACAGTGTGCAGTCCAAGTAGGGCGCATCTTAGATCTTAGATGCATATTATCTCAAGATGCGCAAGGCCAAGGGCAAGCATGCGGCCACATATATCATCTGGCTGTTGTGCTGTAGATGTGGGGGGCGGCTCTTGCTTTTTTTTCCGGCCTCTTCCCCTCTGTAGTATTCTCTTTCCTAAGACCTAACGCAAATTATACCTCAGGACCGGCTCCGCTGTGCGCTGAGGCGCTGTTCGCCCCACAGACGCACGAGCGCTGCCAAGAAAAGCAAAGGCGAAAGGGCCGCCGCAATCGCGAGCGGGCGCCTCAGGCTCAGCCGACCATGGGTCCCGCATGGTGGAGGGACATGCGCCAGCTGCCGTCCTCGTGCCGCTCGTAGATGTTTGTGGCGACGAGCTTGCTCTCCCCGGGCTTGACCTGAGGGAGCGACGCGTGCGTGAGCAGCGAGTGGGGGTGTGGGGGCGGCGGCGGGGCATGTTGGAGCCCCGCCCGGACCTCCTCGATGCAGGTGACCCGAGCGACGTTGGCCGCCGGAGTACTGCACCGCACGCTGCTCGCGGCAACCTGTACGGCAGGCTCCGAGAAGGTTCCGAGACAGAAGGTTCCGAGAAGGTTCCGAGAAGGTTCCGAGAAAATGCCGCCCCGTAGCACGGCCGTGCTACTCCACTGCACCTCGGCTGCTCCTCGGCTGCTCCTCGGCTGCATCTCGGCTGCATCTCGGCTGCATCTCGGCTGCATCTTGGCTGCAGCTTGGCTGCACCTCGAGGCCGCCCGCCGGCGCGGAGCGGAAGATGTCGCGCCTGGTAAGGAAGTGGGTCTCGCAAGGGTCTCGGAAGGGTCTCTGAGTCTACGCGGGGGGGAGAGAGGAGAAAAGGGAGAAGAGGACGAGAGACAAGACGAGAGAGAGAGAGAGAGGGGGGGGGGGGTGGAGAGGAAGGGAGAGAGAGAGGGAGGGAGAGAGGGGAGAAAGAGGGGCGGCTGTCGCGCCACGAGCTGATCACAGCGTCGAAGCCGACGATGGGCTCGTGGCCCGGGTGGGCGCAGACAATACTCTCGCTCGGCAGCCACAGTCGCCGCATCGCTGCAGTACACCACAAGCAGACGTGATCAGGGTGGGAAGAGAAGCGCATGCGGCGGCTGGACAGGTGTGGGGAAGGAGAGGTGGTATGCTGCGAGTGCGGTTCATCCTCTGTTGCATTGCTGCTGCAGCAAGAGAGCTCTCCATCCCGGGCGTGTCGCGTGCCCTCCACGTCCCGCTCGGAGAAGGCGCGGTAGAACTCAGAGTTCGCGCTCAGCGCGCCGTACTCGCTGTCCATCTGCAGCGCGGCAAGCCGATCTCGCAGCGCCGCCGCCTGCAGCAGAGCCGACAGTTGTGGTACGGGCAGCCGCAGTTGTACGGCACGGTGCAAACCTGGGAGTAGTCTTCCGCCGCAACCGCGGCCGACAGCTCTTGCTCCAGCTTTCCGACGGCCTTCTCTTCCGCCTCTGACATGCGGGACGAACGCGAGCGAGAAGGAACAGGAGCAGGCCTCCCAGCGCGAATAAGCCCGCCACCGCGGTTCGTGGTCCACACCAACGCGAAAATAAGGAGGGGTGAAGTCATGTGTCTGCTGCTCTCTGCTCCTCAAACAGACCGGGGTCGGCCTCGGGCGATCGCGCCAGCCGGGTTTCTTTCTGTTTTTCAGTGTATGTAGCTCTTACGAACATACCCGTAGGTGAACTGCTGACGGGGTTTGCGATGAGGAGCGATCCGAACGTGGTATTCGGGTGATTAGATCACTACCGCCGAAGCGCAAGCGCTTGGAGCAAGGGAACTGCCACGTATGGGTCCCAGACTAGCACCCCACCTCGCGAGCCGACGTTCTGGCTCAGCGAGGCTGCTGCGGAGCACTCGGGGCCGACGTTCTGGCCCAGCGAGGCCGCTGCGGGGCACCCGGCGGCTCGGTTCGCTCATCAGCGCAAACTCGGTCGAGCAGAAAGTAAGGTGTGTGTGTAAAGGCGGCGCGGCTCGGTAAGGGTCGGCGGTAAGGCGGCGCGGCGGCAGCAGACGGCAGGCAGGACATCGGACGGCGGGACATACGGTACGGCGGGCGCGGCACTGTAGGAGCGGCGGTATGGCGGCACGGCGGTTACGGACGGCAGGGGGTACGGCAGGCTAAACGGCAAGGGCGGCGCGGCACGGAGGAAGGAGCGGCACGGTAAGGAACGGGGGTACGGCAGGCTAAACGGCAAGGGCGGCGCGGCACGGAGGAAGGAGCGACACGGTAAGGAACGGTGGCGCGACGGCAGACCACAGCGGCGAAGGGACGGCGGAGCATTGGACGGCGGGGAAAGGGTCGGCGGTAAGGCGGCGCGGCGGCAGCAGACGGCAGGCAGGACGTCTCGGACGGCGAGACAAACGGCACGGCGTCACGAGGAGGTAGAAAGTCGGGCGCGAGCGGGCGAGGCAGCGGCGAGGCGGCGGGTTGATCACGAGGAAGTAGAAGGTCGAGCGCGAACGTGCGAGCGAGCGGCAGGCGAGCGGCCAGGCGGCGGGAGGGCGAGGCGAGGGTGGCGGCGGTGGATCACGAGGAAGTAGAAGGTCGAGCGCGAACGTGCGAGCGAGCGGCGAGCGAGCGGCTAGGCGGCGGGAGGGCGAGGCGAGGGTGGCGGCGGTGGATCACGAGGAAGTAGGAGGTCGAGCGCGAGCGAGCGAGCGGGCGGCGAGATGGATCACGAGGAAGTAGAAAGTCGGGAGCGGGCGAGCGAACGGCGAGCGAGAGCGGCGAGGCGGCGGGAGGGTGAGGCGAGGGTGGTGGCGGTTCGGATCACGAGGAAGTAGAAAGTCGGGCGGGCGAGCAAGCGGCGAGCTAGCAGCAAGGCGTCGGGAGTGTGAGGCGAGGGTGGATCACGAGGAAGGAGAGATTCGGGCGATCACGAGGAAGTAGAAAGCCAGGCGCGAGCGGGCGAGCGAGCGAGCGAGCGAGCGGCGAGGCGGCGGGAGGGTGAGGCGAGGGTGGTGGCGGGAGGAGGGGGCGAGGGCGAGGGCGGGCGGGCGATAGGCGGGACGACAGGGCGGCGGCCAAGCTGGCGTGGTGGTCGGCGAGAGGCGGCGAGGGCGGGCAGGCGACAAGCGAGACGACAGGGCGGCAGGCAAGCTGGCGTGGCGGTCGGCGGGAGGCGGCGGGAGGTGAAAGGCAAGGGCGATGGCGGGCGGGCGAGAGGCGACAGAGACGACGGGTTGGCGGACGAGCTGGCGGCGGGTCGGCGGGCGGAGGCGGGAGGCGGGAGGCGAGGGCGAGGGCGGGCAGTAGAGCGCGAAGTTGAGACCGCTTGACCTTCGACGGGAAGGTTGCCCACCTGTGGCCAGACCAGTGTGAAGGTGAAGACCCCTTACGAGCGGGCGGGCAGGGCGGGCGGGCAGGGCGGGCGGGCGGGAGGGTAGCAGGAGCAGCATCAGCTGCAACAGCAGCAGCAGCAGCAGCACAGGTTAGGTCAGCCGCGTAGAGGGCAGCGAGGCTGAGGTCAAAGAGCAGCAGGATGTTGAGCCACCACCTCGTTGGGAGTCAGCGCTGCAGCAGCGCCCGCCTCGTTGAGCATGTTGAAAGCAGAGTTATTGGCGTCAATATGGCGCAGCGCAGAGATGCCAGCACCGCGAGGAAGTGCAGGACCCGCGTTTGCGGTGCGAGCCGTCGAGGCAGGATCAAGCTGAAGGACTCGAGTGGTTTCCACACTGACATCCTCGCCCAGAGCATTGCCAGACAGGTTTGCGCCCAGTTTGCAGTCGCTTGGCGTGGTTTGTGCCGGCGCACCAGCCGCAGAGGCAGCGCTGCCGACTCTCATTGGTTGAGCAGCCGTCGCAGTGCTCGACGGATCGGCAGTGTCGGCGCCACCAGCACCGCGCTCGGTCTCGCTCAGCGAGGCGGCCGAGAGCACAGGCAAGCCGCAAACGCGCATTTGGGACGCACGTTTTTTGAGAGAGAGAGATTTTTAGGAATACCAAACAACTCTAACACTCACACGTCATTTGGGGCCTGGAGGCCTGTTCACGCGCGCGCGAGACGTGCAGACAGGGTTGCCAGGTGAGAGCGAATGGCGCGGTTCACGCCTCGCACAACAGAGAGAGAGATGCGCTCTGCATGGTGGGACATAAAAGAAAGCGAGTACTTGGGCGAGTAGGCCGTGCGGTCGACGCTGCCGCGCGCGACTTTGCGCGCGAGGCGGCGCAGCTTGAGAACGGCGGTGGGCGAGAAGCCGCCTTTTGTTTTGTTTTTTGTGAGGGGGCGAGAATCTCCGCGCCAGTCCGCGCCCTTGTCGTGCCAGTGTGCTGTGAGAGAGGCTTGTATTTGAAGAATTCTGCTTTGATCTCCAGCGCTGAAAGACTAACAGGGTAAACACCGGCGTAAGTTTATTATTAAACATAATAAATAACAGCATCTCTAGGAGTCAAAAAAAGAAAAAGGACTGGGTCGGCCCTTGCCGCCGCGCCTTGCGGGTTGATGAGGAAGGATCGGCAGCCGGACTGGCAGGACACAAACGTGGCTCTCATCGGCTCCGACATCGACCGCAAGTGCAAGGAGGCCGCCGCGCACGGCGAGCCGCAGTGGCGGGGCGCCGGCACGAGCGTCGGGCTGCAGCTGTGGCGGATTGAGCAGTTCCGCGTTGTCCCGTGGCCGCAGAAGAAGTGGGGCAAGTTCCACCGCGGCGACTCATACATCGTGCTCCGCACGTATAAGAAGCCGAACAACAACAAGAAGCTGGAGTGGGACGTCCACTTTTGGATCGGCAGCGAGTCGTCGCAGGACGAGTACGGCACCGCCGCGTACAAGACGGTCGAGCTGGACGACTTCCTTGGAGGCGGAGCGACGCAGCACCGACAGGTGGAGGGGGCCGAGGCGCAAGACTTCCTCGACCTGTTCGGCGGCCGGGTCCAGTACCTCGAGGGCGGCGTCGCGACCGGCTTCAAGAAGACAGAGCTCAAGGAGCGGCAGGCGCGCCTCTTCGAGGTCAAGGGCGGGCGCGGCAACCTGCGGCTGCGGCAGGTCAAGCTCAGCCGGTCGTCGATGAACTCTGGCGACGTGTACATCCTCGACACCGAGTTCAAGGTGTTTGTGTGGGTGGGCAGCGAGTCGAACGCGGCCGAGCGGGGAAAGGCGGACGAGTTGGCCAAGGGGATGGCTGCGGAGCGGGGCGGGGGGACGCAGGTGGTGCACGTGCCGGACGGAGAACCAGACGAGGAGGACCCCTTCTGGAAGGAGCTGCCCGGAGAGCGACGGTTTCTCGGCATCAAGGTCGGACGCGTCTCGGTGAAGGGTCAAGAGGCGGGCGGCGAGGACGCGGCTGTAAAGGCGCACCAGCCGCTGCTGCTGCGGCTCAAGGCGGGAGAGCGGGGCGCCTTCTCGTACTCGCGCGCCGGCACGGGGGCGAAGCTGCCTGTCTCGCGGCTGAAGTCCTGCGACGTCTTCCTGTACGACAACGGCTTCGAGATCTTCTTGTGGGTGGGAAAGGGCGCCGACCAGCAGGAGCCAGATCTCCCCACATCTCCCCATATCTCCCCACATCTCCCCATATCTCCCCACATCTCCCCATATCTCGGCTTGTTCCACGACCGTCTCAAGCTGCTCGCCATCACTGACCCTACCCCTACCCCTCACCGGCGGGAGCGGTCAGCGCCTTCCCCATATCTCCCCATATCTCCCCATACCTCCCCGCAGGAGCGGGTCAGCGCCTTCCCCTTCGCGCAGCGATACCTCAAGGACTACCGCCGGCCGTCCGTGCTGCCGATCACGCGCTACGCGGAGGGGAAGGAGGCGCCGCGCTTCATCGAGCAGTTTGGGCCGCCCGCGAAGGGGTGCTTCGCCGACCCCGGGCAGTATGTCGCCCATTGCGTCTGCATGTAGAGTAGTGCGGAGCGCGCCCACTCTTTGAGCACATCCGTGAGTCTCGAGAAACCACCCGCGGCTCCCGGCGAGTTCTACGTGATTCGTGTCAAGTGCCACTAGAGTAGAGAGGAAGAGTGCCGCCTCCCCCCGCGATTTCGACAATTCGTGTCAGTGACAAATAAATAAATAAAACGGACACCTCTACTAGGAGATGGGTAAAAAGGAACAGGTCCCCGCCCTGCGGTCTTTGTGCAGGGTTCTTTGTGGGTGTGGTCGGCGACTAGCCGCTAGCCGGGGTCGTCCTCCCGATGCCGGGGGCGACCGGCACTAGCCGTCTTCCGCATGGTCCCTCGGGTCCCTGCTGCTCCTAATCTCGTCGTACATCCTCCTGCTAATCTCCGCAACATCCTGCTCCCTCCCTCGTCTCGCCCTGTGCGACGGTGTATCA